CAGAATAGCTGTATTTCAAGAATTAAGGTTTCCACCAGACCTCGAGAAAACTTCTCCATGTCTAATGTTCCTGTAAGAGGCTCTGGCCAGACGACAACTTGCTGGTGCTTCAGATATACCACAGAGTGAAATTTTGCTTTTCAAAACGGGTGACTTCTATGCCATGGGAAGCTGGCTTGCAATTAAACAGCTTACCAGGGCAGTGCCCAGCTGAACCGGCTGACGGCATGTACGCATGTCTGGGACAGGGGTTATCCCAGGTTGCAGAGGTCCCCTGTGACACCAGCATCCTGGTGGGGCTACAGGTACTGGCCTTCACCTCCTTATTTTATGCCTCGGGTACCACAGCTCAGGTGAAGACTGGCAGTGCTTTGTCTGCGCAGTGTCTGGTGGTGAGCACCAAAAAGGGGCTGGAAATCCACCCCGGCAGCCTGTTTAAATGACTTAATTCCTGTCGATGCCTCTCTCCACAGCTGCCACATCCATATGAAGCCAGTGTGGATGAAAGGTGCAGTTCACTGAGGCAACCAAACTGCAGGGGTTGATGGTGCCAGCAGCAGGCAGCTGCCTCAGGAGCACGGGAGCCCAGAGAAGAGCCAAGTGAGCACTCCAAAACACACAGCATCCTCTCTGGTGCTCTACGGTGCCCTTCCAAGGTGGGATGGAGACAAACCCTAGCGAAAAAAAGGGAAGGATAACCCTTGGGGCTGCATGCACTTAGCACAGCTGGAGCCTCTCACTCTTCAGAGGGTGCTTCTCTGCTGCAATTAAAGGATATAAGGACTGCTCCTTAACTGATGCGGGGCTCCTCTCATGTGGCAGAGATGTCTACAGCGGAGGTTTGGATAAAGGCCGAAATTAGCAGGGTTTGCCCAGGCTGCTTTGACAGCCCTGCTGCAGCACCCTTCTACAACTCTCTACTTGTAGAGAACTTTTTTTTTGTTAAATCTCCCTTTCTTTCCCTCTCTTTCTCTGTCACTAGCTGCTAGCTGTCTCTTTTATTTCATAGCTTCCCTAAGGCTGAGTGAGATGCAACCCTTGCGGGTCTCATTCCTGCACAACAGGGAGGCGAGACAGCCCTAGCTTCTAGAGCCGCTGCCCTTGCTACTAATGCCATTCCTTTGCTCTCCTAGAAGGATCAGCTCATCCTCTGCAAAATAAACACAAGGTCTGCTGGGGCAGCAACAACAAAACATGTAAGAGGACTTCCACTCTGCATACTCGCTGCCACCGCATCTCACCTACACTTTCTCATCTGGCTCCTGCAAAGGAGAATGTGGGTGGCCCATGGGAAGGGACGGGGGCCAGCAAAAAGCTTTTCCCTTCGGGTGTCTCCAGACTCTCTCCTAACTTTCTGCGTGAATGGGGACTTCCACGGGCCCACTACGGACTGCAAGCAAGCCTGGTTTTAGCAGAGGTCTAGCCTTGAGCTGCAAACTGCAGGGCAAAACCACAGCAGAGGGGCAGCTGCCGTTCTTTGGTCATGGGAAAAGGAGCAGGGATGCCTGAGCACAGTGTCTCGGGGGGTCAGTGTCTGGTCCTTCATGGTAGGAAACCTAGGTCTTGGATCAAAACACAGTGATAACTGGAAAGGTTTTCATGCCAATACTGGAAGTTAATCTGATGTAAGGCAGGTGCATGTAAATGGATCTTTGCTCTAGTGGGTAAGGGGACACAGAGGCAGAGACAAGTTTTTTGATACAAGTATCTTAAGGTATCTACCTGCCTTGACCTCAATCTTTGCTTCTGCCCTTTTGTAAATACCTACATTTTTAAATTGTTACCATCCTATTATATTCATATTTTTAACATTTTAACTAGCCATTCCAACTTACAGACAAAAACTTATTTTTCTTGTTGGTATATTTAGCAATTGTCTTATACTTTCCCTATGATATCATTGGCAATATCTGCACTTACCCAGTTATTGTGGGCAAGACATTCCATAGTGACAGAGGGAGTCTTATGGAGTAATTTAATGTGTCCAATCCCATAAAAGCCTGGCAACACTGGCATCATGGGAACCTTAGGAAAAATAAAGATCCTCTATTACAACAAAATGAATCCCCGGTTGTACTGGATCTTGTGAAAACAAAACTTACTGACTTAAAATATCATGTAAAACATTTGAAATTCCAACTGGCTTTGATAAAAGCTGTAGGGCTTCATCTGACAGCAGAATTGGGCACAGAAGGATGGGAAGGATGGTATGGACTGGGTGGTAAGACACCGTGCATGTAGTCAGAGGTGGGAGACATGAAATCAGTGGGAATTGTGCTTATGCATGTGAATGACAGCTTAGTCCCAATTCCCAGTCTTCTACAGCAGCACCTGTTCTTTGGGTTCATTTATGTTCATCTTCACTCTTGCTTCTTACAGTAGGCTTCCAGTATACCCAAGAGAACTGGTTGGTCTTGCTTCAGGCTAAATAAATTAAGAAGTTGCAGAAACAGCTCTCTATTAATAAAGCAGACGACTTGCAGCAAATCAATAAGCTGTGGTTTCAGAGGCACCCTACCGCGATTAAGATAAGCACCCGCTGACAGTCTGCACTCCCTCTGGGGCTGGGCAGGCCCCGTGGCCCTCTGGAGCTCCCTGCCCCACGACCCCCGGGGCACACAAGGAAACAGGGACTCGCTCATTCGATCCTTGGCTCGTGCCACAAGGCTCTCAGCTGCTATTTTTGCAACACGATTAAAGTGCCCTTCTCCTGCTCCATGACTTTGCCAGCCACTTGTACCTCCCCTCTGGGACCCTGAAGCAATAAAGAGATATAATGTCCAGCACCAGCCTGCTACAGAGGATCTTATTTTCCCCAAACAGTCCCAAACCTGCCTGCGGTGTGGGTCAGCAAACCTGATGTGTGGGACTCCCCCCACCCCCAGCATACACTTTGGCACACAGCTGTGTGGCAGGACAAGGTGGCAGAGGCACCAGCTCCTGACACACAATATAGGCCTGCACACCATTTTATGTTGTTTTCTCCCACTCTTTTCATCAAAACCATCATCGTCCTTTCCAATAAATACGGTATCTTCGCTGCGAATCTCCTGTTTCCTTTGTTACAGGATATATAGAAATAAAACTGCAATTATGCAGTTTTAATTTTAATTAAAACCCCAAAAAAGACAACTTCCACGTTGCTTTGGTCACACGGACAGCTAAGCTCAGAAAATCCTACTGCTACAGAAGTTTATTTAGGAATCTCAGAATTGTGGAGTGTTTCGGCATCAAACTTTTTCCTACCACTGGGAGCATTTCAAACAGCTCTGTTCATATCCAGGTGCTAAAATAGTAATGAAAAAGCAGCAGCCAAAAATAGATGTCAGGTTTTGAATTTGTCTAAAATTGATCAGAAATGAGATGTGAGGAGCTGGGAACTTACCCAAAGCACAGGAAAAACGTAACAGAAATCTTCAGATAGATTATATAACCCAGGGACTCCCTTCTCCTGCACCCCAATTAAGGAAAAGGTTTAGAAAAGCTGGTGATATGTTTTCATCCATTTGTAGTTGAAAGAAAAGAAATCACCACTGAATACCTGTTCCCAAGAAAAAAAAAATACCACCCTGCAAGTCTCCAGAGCTGTAAACTCGTGTCAGGATCAGTTAAGGATGGATTAATAGGTTTACTCTATTTATTTAGTTTTTCTTTACAGTGCTGATCCCCACGGATGATCTCCAACTCTCCAATGGATCCTCACATCTGAAATAAAGAGTTAGCAGGTGTTCCCCTGTGGACTTTTGGAGAGCTGCACGAATTCAGCCGTCCTTGCTGAATTTCACACGGTTCCTGTCGGGCCCCCACACCAGCCTGCCTAGGTCCTGCTGCATGGCAGCCCCAGCATCGAGCCTGCTGACTGGTACCACCACCCCAGTTTGGTGTCACTGGCTACTTTGACACGAGAGCCCTTCACCGCTTCCTCCAGGTCACTGACAACGGTGTTAAACAGGACAGGTCACAGGACAGACCTGCAGCACTCCACTCATTACCAGCTCCCAGGAAGAAAGTACATGACCCATTAACCATGGCCCTCTGAGCCCAACCATCCGAAGAGCTGCTTACCTATCTAGTTGTCCACACATCCAGATGGCAAATTCCCAACTTAGATGCATGAATATTATAGGAGACAACATTGAAAGCCTTGCTGAAGTTTATGTGAATGGCATCCACCTTGTTAAAGCTGACATAAATGACATCCAGTGTTCTCCCCTCATTCACAGATCCAATAATCTTATCACAGAAGCTGGTCAGGCATGATTTGTCCTTGATAAAGCCACGCTGAAGGCTCTCATTCACCTTCATGTGCCCAGAAATGTGCTCCAAGGGGACTCGCTACGTGATTTTCCTAGGGACCCAAGTGAGGCTGACCCACTCACGGTTCCCCAGATTGTCCCTTTGGCTTTTTTTAAGATGATCATATGTAACCACTTTTTCCAAATCATGCTACATTCAAGCAGTCACCTGCACACCCATCATAATTTACGTACAATCTTTTTACCTCTGTACTGTGGTCATCTTCTTGATCATCCCAGTTTACCCAAAATTATGTGGGGTTGGTTGTGAAATGAGGAGTGTTCATAACCCTGTGAAGGGAAATTCCCTCCAGACAGCTGGCTGCTGGGAATCCCAATCCTATAGCAATCCTTTCTGCAGAAACCCAACCCTGTACCCTAAAGTCTGTCTTCATTCCAGCAGTGCTGGACGAGGAGCAGTGGCCCTGTAGTTAGTACTGTCACCTTGTCCTGCAAGCATGTAGAGGATTTCCCAATCCACGGCGTGCATACACTAGCATGGACTGTCCAGTAGAAATAATTGACAGATAAGGAGATATATAAGCTTTCAAAGATTCACTCTGTATATTGCAGAGAATGAAGCACATCCACTCATCATGTGTATTACACCCCTGTGAGCCCACCCCCACAGAAGAGCGCATACAATAGTGTGTTTGAGTGAGATCCTTGTCTATCTACCAGGAGGATCTGTCCTCAGTGGTTTCCATAAGAGTAAGTACAGAGACAAAAAACTTTGTTGACCAGTGAGATGCATGCAAGGTGCTGATAAAACGGCCTCCAGCAGCTGCCTGGAACGGAGCAGAGATGCATTAGCTGTATTGTCAGTCAGAGCTGTCCAGGAAGACCAGGTGAAGGTCCAGCATACAATGGAGCGACCTGCACTGGTAGCATACCTGAGTCAGTCTCCAGTTTTCACTTCAATCAGGAAATCGATCTTAAAAAGCTAGAAAGGATGAGGCAATGAACCCTCCTAGAGTTAGATGAAACACTTAAAATAAGATTTACATCAGTTTTACAAATAAAAATACACCTGTTCTTCCTGAGCTTTGCTCCACATCTTTTCAACTAGTCCTCCAGAAGTTCCTTTGTTTTCACCTTTTATATGCTAGTAGCATCAGATAACAAATCTTGCTATTTAATGCCTGAAAGATTTCCTGAAATACAAGCATCTGACATTTGCCTCAGTTACCTGTGGAAAATACTAACGATTTACTCATGGAAGTTAATATTTGTGCTTTTTTGAGAAACTTGCTCAGCTATGGCTTGACAGTGAGTCAAGGCCAAATGAAATTTTGCCTGCTGCTGCTCTGTTGGACACAGTAAGCGGGCCCTTGGCCTCTGACTTGCACAAAGAGGGTTCTTTGGCTTCCCTTGAAACCTCCGTGGACATGGGTGCTGCCCCCTGGCCAGCAGTGCCTTCTGTAAAATAACATCTATAGATGATAGGACACTTTGGTAACCCACTTCTAACATTTCTTCAATATTCTCTCATACGGCACGACACAGTTCTGGCTTTGCAAAATGTTAGTACTGCCCCTGCACATACCAGCCTCCAGTCCTTTCATCACAACCAGCAGAACTGTCACATACTTTGCGCTTATCTTTTGGGGAAATTCAATGCTCTGTTTCCCTTGAAGCTACTTAGATTGAACCCCTTCACATCTTTCATGGCCCAAGAAGGATTACTTTTGATATCGAAGTCCAGCTGTTTACCTTGGTATTGTAGCCTTACTTCCACTCTTCACAAGTCTCTCTCTCCCTTTTGCAAATGTTTCTTTGTGTTGATTATAAGGGCTCAGCATAAGGGAGCTCTCATGACACCTTCTGTATTCCCAGAAGAAAAAAAAAAAAAAAAAAGAGCATGAATAACAAAGATTGAGAGTAGTACCAGTAACTTTAATTTAAAAATATTACTTTTGTCTTCTTGAAGCTGTCTCCAATCCAAGCAGAATAGGGTCAGCAGATAAAAAACTGAGACAGAACATAAAATAAATCAAATCCTGATAAAGCATGGAAATGCAAAATCAGGACATCCAAACAATCATATTTCTCTTCCGCAGTGACACTATGCCAAAACGATATGATCACGATCAAATTTTTTAAGTAACTGTGACCATAGATTAGACTTGATTAAAGTGTAAGACATGTTATATTCATTTCCTTCTACTTTCAGTGTCCTCCAGGGACACCTACAAGCTAAAGCATTTAAACTCAAGGGACTTTTCTGAAAGAACTGCCCTTAATCTTTTAGTTGTTGAATAAAATCATTGTGTGGAACATGCATCTAACAATTCATCTTTTACTGATACGGCTCTCAGTAAATTGTCTGTTCCCAAAGTTTAGAAGACTGAAGAAGCTATTAAGAGAACAGAGCATTTTATTTCAGATGAAACCATGCAAATCTCAAGGAGAAAGGAGGCTAGCAGAAAGAAAAGTCCCCTGATACATATCTTTTAATTAACATAGCAAAACATTCCTTTCTGTATGCAGGTAAATCATTTATGCACAATTCACTTGGGTTTCTCATCCTTATCACTAAAAACTTTTTTTTTTTTTACAAGTTTGATTTATTTTGGAAAAAAAAAATCAAACTAGCAAAGTACATTGTATGATGAGGCTGTTCAGGATGTATAGCACTGAGGGACGACAGTCATTTAAATTGCATTAATTCTTCCACAGAGTGAGAGTATAAAGGTGACTCTAGATGGCTTACCCAAGTTTTGCAATATTCACTTAAAAGATCCAAGTAACCACTGTCGGCAAAGACACTTATAAAGTGAACTGAAGGATTAATTTAACCTGGTAATCGTGCTTCACACACCGACAACCACCAGCCCACAACTGGGGAGAGCCACCAGCCCTCCACACTCCTGTCCTGGCCGCTAACACAGCTCCCCTGCTGTGAGAGGGGACAGAGGCACCTTAGCTACTTTTTGACTACCAACAACAATAAATGCTTTCTAAGAAAAGTAATCTAGGTATCCTGAACTCAGGAGAAAACCTTAATGCCATCTATCAGCAATTCCTACACATACTTCATCTGCTTTGGTGCTCTTCCTTACCGCATCGTTCCTCCTGCTTGTGACGTTTGGGACTTCAGTCATACCTGGGAAAGTAAGAAGCTGCATGAAGCATTATTAGCTTGATTATTTTTTGACATTACATTGAATGCTTGCACTACTTTTGATAAAAGAAATGAGAAATTATTAGCTCTTTTGAGCTATGGCTAGCACAAGGGCGTTTTGTTTTTTTTTTAATGCACAGATCAAATAGGCCATAAGGATGATAATAAGCCTAACTAGAACAACAGAATGCATCCCAAGGATATTAAAATTTGTTTTGAAGATGTCTATTACAGAGAACTTTTGTTATATTCTTTTCCGTGAAAGTTTACAACATTTTGTCTCTTTCTTCCATTTTTATTACAATTTAAAAGATTTAACTACTAAAAAAATCCTACCAAAAAATGAGATCCGTGGAGCAGTCCAATTCAATTGTATTTATTCTGCACACTCCACGAAATCAGGACACAGTTAATCAGCAACCGCTCTTAATTAGTAAGAAACCTATTTAAACTTAATGATACACACGGCCAGGGCTGCTGCTGCTTAATGGAGACAGTAGTTCTCCTTAATTGGGACGCTTTCAGGTGATATAACGGGTGAAACCGATGCTTCGCTCTGCTGTTTCAGGCTCACGGTGGTTCTCTCTCTCCATCCTGCTGGGAACATTTTGCACTTGGAGCTGACATAGCACCCAAAGGGCTCCCTCGCTGCCTCCCTTCCCCTCCTGACCCGTGCCTTCGGCACCAGCTCTTCGCTGCCAGCGCCCCGACTGCAGGACAAATCCGCCGTCAAGAGGACGGGGACGACTCGGGTGGAAGCTCTGTTGCCAGCCACCCTGGGTGTTGAGACGGTGCTTTTCGGTAGTCGGAAGGACTTCAGCATCAGCTCAAGGGCTCAGCAACACAACGTGAACTTGCCTGTGACACCTGTCACAGATCAGCAGCGATTACAGCTGCCGGCACATTTGCAATGAGAACTTTAAGGAGTTTGCGGTTCCTGCTGCTGTGATTTCCTCCTCAACAAAAACCTGCTGATTTTTATATACTATATTAATGCTGCCATACCTGATAGTCAGTCACCAGTGTGGGAAATGAGTCAGAAGCCTTAGCTCAGCTCCTAGAAGAGCCTCCCTCTCACTCAAGCCTTCTGTTAGCAGCCTCAGCAGGAAAGGGTCACCGAGAGATTCAGATGTTTCCCCAAACCTGCAGATGATCTCCCCAAATCACAGTGCTGTCACCCTGCCGAGCAGTGTAAGAAAGCTTGCAAATTAGCTGATCTGTCACGCAGAAATAACAAAAGTTGGCTCAAAGGATGGCAGTTTCTCGTGGCAATTAAATTCACTGCAAATAACTAAGAAAGGAGGATTTGTAAAGACATTTTGTAAAGACAGCATTTTAGACAAGATACCAAAGCCAGAACAAAGTTTGCACAGCACACAGCACTTGGCAGTGTGTCAGTATAACATGAGATGGCTTCACTTCCATCGACAAAGAGCTTAGTGCCACAGCAGAGTTCCTCACGTCTAACTAAAGTAATTAATTGTGCCCATCAACTGAAACTAGACCTGTCAAACGGTACCGTGCCAGTCCAGCCAGCCCTTGGGGTCAAGCAGCAGAACAACGTTGCAGCCTGTAACAGGGCAAGTTGGGAAGATAAGACGAGCTGTGGAAAAATGGGGAAAGGGGTGTAACTCCAAGCTGCATTGCAGATCAGCTGCTGTCTTCTGCAAAAGACTGAAATGCAGGAGACCACAGCCAGCCTTTGGTAGCTGGAAATATATTAATTTAAGGGCAGTATAAATATTGCTCTACTGACCCATCTTTAGCTAAACTTTCTTACCATACTCCTTTGCACCTTTGTTGTTTTATTCCGGCTTTTCATGTGCAAAATGCCCTGCAGAACCAATGCAGACATTTCATGAAAAAGGCTCAGTTTGAAGCTGTGTCTGCAGTAGCTCCTAGATAAAGTTTCACTGGGGTTTCACTAGTACAATCCTGCTAAGTATCAGTGTTCTCAGCGTAGGCTGGTGGGAGGACAACAGAACGGCTGAGGCAGAAAAGACCAGAAACGTCAGGATTAGCCACAACAGCAGCGAGTGGAGAGAGGGAGGAGCAGGAAAGACCGGTAAGTGCGTAGGGAGAATGGAAAACCAGAAGGCTTTAGAGAGGAGGAAAAGAAGGGTAGTAGAGTAGACAAATTACACACCAACCCTAAACTACCTCAGGAGCAGGGGCCGTGGTTCGGAGTGGTTGTTTGCCTGGGGCAAAGATGACTCGGTGTAACATGACAGTCCGTATCGACTGCAAACACATGCACACACGCTTGTACCTACTTAAAAGTAAACCAGGATTTTCTACTTGTCACTGTGAGCATGGTCTGTCCGGCAGGGAATGTCCATGCAAGGTGATGCGGCGCATCACGGGGTTTTTCAGTACATCTGTAGAAAACACCGAACCCCTTCAACTGCCTCCTGTTCAACTGGATCCAAAACCTTGTCTGCACTGCTCCCATCAGCAGGACCTGCTGGAATACACCGGGGAAAAAGCAGCATCACTACAGCGGTATGGTTTCACTGTCCAGGAAGCAAAACAATGCAATTATAAATTTTAAGAGAATGCCGTATTCCAAAAAAAAAAAATGAACCATCCCCAGCCTCCCATATTCATACAAGACTCTTGTCTGACTCACGGGGTTTCACAACCTTCGCTTCCTTGGCCTTCCCACCGCTGGCTCCATCCCCTTCGCACTTGCAGCCGAGGCCGGCAGCGGGACGAGGAGGCGGAATCAGCTCCGCCAGGACGTCGGCCCCTCCAGCCACACAGGTGAGGGGAACAGCCCGAGCAAGCTTCGCTGCGAAGCTGAGTGACAGAGGATCTGCACACCCCCTCACCTAGCGCCCGGCACCTCGGTCACAGCTGGTGTATTTTTGTATGAGGTGAACACGAAGAATAAAAATGCCTCTCCTGGAACAGCTGCAATAATACTTTGAAAACGCTGCAACGCAAAAGATCTTTCTGCAGGTAACAAACATGGAATAATTTATATCCGTAGTGTAAAAGTGTGAAAACAACCCAACAAGACCAGCTCTATACTGTACATTTTTAGGTAAATGTCTGGGTCTGAGAGTGACTGCAAGCACAAGAAGAGTACATTCGGATGGAAACTTAAATGCTATTTTTGCTCTCCTGTGACCTTGCTGGCCATACGGTCTCTGAAGGTTCATTATCAGAACTGTAATTTGGTTACCACTACAACAGTTTCTGGAGCTGCTGAGGTTAAAGACAACATTTTTTTTTAAGCTCTATGAATGATCATTAAACATGATTGCTAAAGCAGCAAACTGTCAAAGTCGTTTCATTTATTTCTTAATATCACAGCTGTACAATTTTCATACATACAGCAGGAAATGCACATTGGTTACACAATGGCATTTGGCTGCATTTCCAAGTATAATACAGTAAGTGCAACTCCACTTAAAAATGTACATTTATACAACTTAAACAAATTAAGGATTGCTACACTACTATCTGTGACAGTATAAAGCTTCATTTCTGTTAAGTCTCATTACTAAACCACGTCCTGGTGAAATATAAAACATATTCAATCATTTTAAAATGGCCCTTGTGGTACTTGGCCAGCATATAAAATATTTGTTGTGTAAAATTTACCCATTAACTTTTTTTTTAAAAAATAATCCTCTAAGCCTATTTAAACATTTGCTATTGAACTGTTATACTGACACTTTGTAGCAGGAACCAAATTTTACCCTCCTTTTGTTTGCTCTTGCACTGCTTATCACCGAAACAAGTTACATTTGTAATGTATTGCAGCTTTATTCAGATACAACCAGATGGCTAAACTATTTAACAATTTTGCTCAAAAGGTAAATAACATTTTTCATTAAAGAAAACAAAAATTACATTTCAGAGATATTTGTCATCAAAATTTTAATGGGTAGAGTACTACCAGCACTGAAGGGGAAAAAAAAAAAAAGAAAACAAAACAAAACAACCCCCCCAGCCCCCCCCCCAAAACAAAATAAAACCAAACCAAACAAAACAAAAAAAGAAACAAAAAACAAAACAAAACAAAAAAACCCAAAGGCATTAATTTATCTTTTAAGACCCACCCGAACATTCAGTTTAAACTCTTATAACTTTACTTTTGGAATACATTGGTCCACAGACCACATTCTTGTTACAGTTTACCAAATGAAAAACAAAATTGCTTATTGCCGTCCCTATAACAGGAATGGTTCAGTTTTAAACCTCCTTTAAAAATATACATTTTACAACCCTTTCACCTCAACAAAGGTGACACTGACAATAAATACACTGGTTTGGTGGTTTTATTTTTCTTTGCTGTGGAAAGTCTACAAACTACCTGTTGTAGGCCCTTTCTTTTTTAGACTTCTCCAATGCCTTGTCCATTGTTTTCTCGTTTTCTCCTCTACATTTGGGGCAGTACCATTTGCCCTTTGGTTTATGATTGAGTCCCACGCAGGAAAAGTGAAACCACTCAATGGGGCACTCATCGTTATCGCATCCTATCATTTCTCCATAGGAGACTTGGTTGCACAAGCAGTATGTTGGCTCGTTAGGGTCAATAGGGAGGTCTGGGGGAGAGGCTTCCCTCTCTGCTTTAGCCTTGGATCGTTTCTTCTTCTTGGACGTTTTTGCTTTCTTCTCCTTTGGAGTTCCTGAGGTGATGTCATCATGATCATGATTATTTGAAGCATTTTCTCGATTCTCATTATTCCTTTGCCGTCTCGATCTCTTATTGTTGGGCTTTTCAGCCTGTGTGATTGTCTCATTCTTTGACTTATCTTGGCTGGCTTTCCCGCTGTTTCCAGTGGTATCGTTAGTCTCTTGACAAGTCTCAAACAGTTCCACGTGGCTGTCCACCTGCCTGGTTCTGTTCTCAACGAGCTCCACCATCTGACTGACGATTTGGATCTTCTCGTCCCCCAGTTCCTGACTCCGAATCAAGGCTCTCTGTATGCAGTGCAACATTCTTCTCTTCTGCACGGCATCTGTCTCTCGTTTAAATTTTTCATAGTAATCATCCAGGTCCTTCAGAATCTCTGCAAGGAAGAAATAAAAACGATAAATATTTTCGACAGAGAAAATGGTGAAACAAAGCCTTCCCATATTGTTCCTTCCACGCAGCAACACCTTTCTGTAACGCACAAAGCTGATCAAAGACAGATTCCCTGAAGCTGGTATGTGGCAGAGGGCACATGACTCCAGTGGATTACGTTTTTTCTGGCTGGTCCCACAGAAAGAAGTTGTAAATGCTGATTTAGAAAAAAAAGTGACTAAATGTAATTTTATGCATGTTGACAATTCTTTCCTTTAAACTAATTAGAAAGAACTAACGAGCTAAACAGATACACACACACACACACACACCCCCATCAAAAGTTCCAAAATTAATTGTAGAATTAGAGGGGAAATTAACAGACTCTTTTCCTGGACATTTTCTGCATAAGAACATTAGCATTTTTAGTCAATGACTGAGAGTGGGAGAGAAAGAAAGCACAAAACAGTGTAGAAAACAGATGCTGGGTTACTTAATAATCACTATCCCACTTGACAGCTAACGCAGGAGAACTCCAAATACACAGGGCCAGACCCGAAGGTATGGCAAGTTTCATCCAATACTGCTGACTTGTTTTTCCTGAAAATGTGAGGCCACTTAAATCCCTAGGACTACAGAATTAGCATTATAATATCCAAGATGTCTAGATGATTACTTCCCGATACTTCATGTAAAATACCTGTTGCTTACTTTTTAAAACACAGAAATATAATCTTCATTAAATATTTACCGCAGAGGAGGAGATGAAAAAGTTAGAAGATAACATTAAAGATGATATGCAACAATGGGAGCAGCTAAAGCTTCTGATTTAAAACCCTAATGCTGAAAATACGTTGGATCTTTAACAATCTCAAGGATTGTTCCAAGAGTTTCTAAGAAAGAGCAGTGCACAAAAGTTTTTAAAGTTTCAATAATGGTTCAGGAAACCTATTTTTAAGCAGATGGTTTTGAGTTTCACTATGATACTCAAATCAACTCAAACATACACGACACTTGGAATTTCCATATTAGATCCTCAAAACCAGCCAGAAAGTTTTTCCTGCATCTCTTTTCTTCTCTTGACTTTTCCCTTTCTCACAGGTTAGAACATTCTGCCTTAGAAAAGCAAAATATACTGATATATAAAAATCTAACCTCAGTTCACTTAACAGAAAGCAGGATCTTTTATACGTTCAGTTGACATTACCAAAACTTTTTAAAAGTGGTTGTGGTTTTTTTTTTTTTGCTTGTTTATTTGTTTGTTCATTTGTTTTGGCTTGGTCTGGTTTGTTGTTTTTGGGTTTTGTTTTTTTTTTGTTTTTCTCCTAATAAGAGACTATGATACATATGCAACTAACAGTTATCCTGTGATTTAGATTTTGTCTTGCCTGGGCAGATTTCTGAACACGTGTTCCTAATTTCTAGTGAAGACATGGAAAGATTATGCAAGTTTTACTTTTATTTTTATTGCTGCAGCCTATGCTTCTCGCATCGGTTAAGCACGATCTGACAGCCGGTACTACAATATAACCTGCCTGACCAAAATCAGTATTTCAGTATGTTATTAACTATCTTAAGCAAATTCCTTTTGCTTCTTGCTACAAAAAAAACCAAACCAAACCAAAAAACCCCTAAAACCCCAAACCACCCCTGCCACCACCAGCGAAAACCCCCCAAATGTACAGAAGATTAAGCATTCAGGAAGACTAAAAATCCAGCGTTAATTATTCTCAGTGGCTGAAGCGCAGAAGTTTTATGTTCCAAGTTTTGGCACTGGGCTGATGTCATCCGTTTAACCCATCTCAACCTGCTGGGTAGGCATCTTTCGTGAGGAATACTCTCTCTCTTGATACGCCGCAAGATAATTAATGACTGAAGTTAGGCGGTACGAAAGCTTCAGCTCTAGTATTGCGTGTGCACGTGAACGCTACTGCACCACACCACCTCCCGAAAAACAGCTGTGGTACCCGGGGGGGGGTGGAGGGGAAAAAAGTTGGCTGCAACAATCCTGGACCCTGCAGACCCCGGCCAAGCGCATCGTTGGGCACCGACACGTTCGGCGCGCGAGGCGCCGGTGCGAGACGCGCCTTTTCGCAAACGCGGGCCCACGGAGAGGGCTGCCGAGCGTCAAGCCCTGGAAAGGTGTTTCTTCCAAGCCCCTTCGCCGGCTCAAGGCAGCAGCTGGGCAGCTGTCTGCTCCGGCTCCGGCTCGGAGGAGGATGGCACCGCCGATCCTCACGCTCAGCTGAAGTTGCCCGCCCCGAGGAGCCTGCCTGGGGAGGGATTCCAGAAAACCGCTTTGCCCCTGGCGCGCTGCAACAGAGAGACCAGAAAGCAAGTGTTTTTGTGGCGCGTTACGCAGTTGTTCACCAGCTGTGCATACACCCCACCCACCCCCCTCCCCCCCAAAAACACGTCACAAGCGCCATTCAAATAAAATATTTCCTTTAAAAATGGTGCTGGGTATTGTGAAAGCTTTATTCCGGGAGCAGCTGCGTGGGGCCTCACGGGGGGGGGGGGTTTGGGACACCGCCGTCATGGCCGCCCCCCCCCCCCAGCACAGGGCACCGGCGGGGGCGGCAGCGGGGGCAGGAGGGGGCCAGGACCCGCGCCGGGATGCCCACGCTCGGCCGCCGGGGCCGCGGCGTGTGCGGGACACGGGTGTGAAGCAGCTCCCGGGGCCTGAGGCGGCGCCGGCCCCGCCGCCCGCCGGCAACCCGCGCGCTCCCGCCTGGCAGCGCGGGGCGGCCATGACGGCGCGGCGGGGGACCCTGACGCTCCTAACGTAAGGCGGCGCGCGCCCGCTCGCCCGCCCGCCCGCCGGGGAGCGGCCCCATCCCAGCGGGGCGGGAGACCCGCCTTCTCCTAGCAACCAGAGCGGCGGCAACGCCCCGGAAATGACGGAGCAGCTATTGTTCTCCGGCAGGAAACCGGCGGCGGTTCCCCCCCCCCCGCCCGGTTCGCAGAGGAAGCGGGGGAGGAGGGGCGCTAGGAGGCGGCGGCCCGCCCACTCCCACCCCCCCGCCTATCAGAGCGCGCCGACGGGGAAAGCCCGCCCCTGCTGGCCCGCCGTTCCCAATCGGAAACAGAAAGAACCAGAAGAGTAAAAAAAAATATTAAAAAAAAAAAAAAAAAAAAAAAAAGGCAAGCAGGCAGCCAATCACAGCGGGCAGAGCGAGTTTGCGCCCGCCCCCTCCAGCACCGTGGCGCCATTCACGAGCACGGGGAGGCGGGGAGAGCGGCGTCAGTCACGCTCCGGTCGCCCGGGGTTGGCCTGCCCGCTGCTGCCGCCCCAGCCAATCGGAACCCGCGGGCCGAGATATTCAAATCAACCCCACAGAAAAGTTGCTTCTGGAAACGTCACGAGGAGGCGGGGCGCAAGGAAGGACAAGCCCGACCAACCAGAACCAATCGGCGGGAGGGGGCGGGCCGCGGCCGGCCCGTGGGGAAGCTCCCACCCTATCAGCGCCGCCTTGGGCGGGGAGAGCCGCGATATGCTAACGAGGGGCGTTGATAAAAGCCGCGGCGACGCCGCTGCCCCAGCACAAGCGCGGAGGCGCCCGCTGTCCGCCGCGGCGGCGGCGTGTGCCCAGCCGCGCGCGAGAAGCGCGCTGCCCGCCCTGCCCGGCCCCTCCCCTCCCGCGCCCCCCGCCGCGGCCGCGGCCTCCTGAGGAAGTTTCACCACCACCACCCACCCCCCCCCCCCTCCAGCCTCGGCTCTTTCCCCCGGGAGCCGCCGGGCTCCCTGCCTGACGAGCGGCTGAGGGGCACGGCAAGGACTCGCTGCCCACCGACAGCCCCTAAGGCCACATGCAGAGGTGGGGGGGCGGGGGGGGCACCCGCCGAAGGGAGAAAGGGGGGTTGGGGGGGTTACTCCCCGCTCGGCACCCCGGCTGTCACCGCTGCCGCCGGCACCGAATAAAGCCCTCCTCCCCTCCCCCGCTTCCCGAGCGGACACCGGCAAGCAAGTGACAAAGCTGCCCCGCACAGACCGGCCTCCCCTCCCCTCCGCCCGTGGGGCACGGGGACGGCATGCCCCGAGTGCCGGCGGCGCGGAGGCAGGCGAGGCGGGAGGGGGCACTTCACCCTTCAGCAGCACATCCGTAAAACCGACCGTACCCCCCCCCCCCAACACACACACACACACACACACATCGCACACGCCAGTCCCGTTCCCCCCCCCCCCCCGCCCCACGGAGCGGGGCTGTTTTACTGGGGTGAAACGAAACCCACCGAGGAGGGAGCGAAGAAAGCGCACCCTGCCCCCCACTCTCGCCTAACCCCCCTCTCCTCCCTCCCTCCTTCCCTCCCTCCCTCACTAGCTGCCTCTCTCCCCTACTACAGCCATAATGAATACTGTACATTCCTAAATGTTGTGCTGTAATCTCTCCCTCTCTGTCCACCCAGCACTTTCTTCCGTACCCCGAAACCCTTCCACCTCAGCCCCACGGCCGGGGACGGCCCCCCTTTGTGCACCGCACACCCCACTTCCCTGCCCCCGCCTTCTTGGCCAGCAATTTACACAGAAAAGCAGAGTCCTTGCTTAATAAGAGAAGCTGGAGACCTTTTGTTCCGCCCCATGACAAGAGCTAACGCTGCAGATCAGCCCCTCTCTCTCCTCGGATCTCTCCTCCTGGCTTTCTCCCTCCTTTCACCTCCCAAAAATAAAACTACCATCCCTGTGGGGTGCAGAGGGGCAAACGGAGCCGAGGCTCAGCTCTGAAGAAAAGAAAGGGAAAGACACCCTTCCTCTCCGAGCCCCAAACCACACACACGGACACACACACACACATAGAGAGAAAGCACTTACCTTGATATTTGGCGTCAATTTCCCTCATCAAGGAGACATTTCTCTGCAGATCGAAGGGCATAGACTCGATGGAGTCCAGATAATCCTCCACATAGTTCACTAGGTGAAGCTGGTCTCCGTTTGCAGGACTCAACATTTTCATCCGGCAAAGAAAAAAAAAAAATATCCTTCCCCACACCTCTCTCTCCCTGTCTGTGCGAGAGCAAGTGCTGCTCCCTCCGAAGACGGTAACCCCGATGAACGGCTCACTCCCTGCCCACCTCTCTCTGTAGCTCCCCCAAAAAACCGAGAGAAGCTACATCTGACTCCTCTTGTGTGAAACAGAGGGAGACACACACACACACACACACCCTCCGCTAGTCCCCTACAGCCAGCAGCAGCTGATTGAATGGCTGTCGTTGTGGGTAATTCACGAAGGAGGTGGTAGGAACAATCAGAGGGATTTGTGTGTGTGTGTGTGTGTGTGTGTGTGTGTGTGTGAAGGGGGGGGGGGGGAGGGGGGAGGAGGAGGAGGAGAAAGGAGGGGGGCTTAAACCAGCTCCTCCGAAACAATCTGGAAACAAAATGTGCTCTGCAAAGTGTCTGTCAGAAGCAGCGGCAGCCCCTCTGCATGCGCCAGCGCCGCTCCGCTCCGCTTCTCCTCCGCTCCCCCCCGTCCCCGCTCTCCTCACCGCCGCCGCCGCTCCCCGGTGATATTCACGCAGCCTCCTCGCTCCTGTAACGCCGCACTTGATCCAACGTGGAAAACCCAAATACCAGTTTCAAACACTTGGGAAACATTCAGCCCCGCCACGCACGGCGCATGCGCACCCCTCCCAGCGCTGTGTACACACACACACACACACACACGGGCGCGCGCGCACACACACACACACACACGCACACACATACACACACACACACGCACACGCACACTCTCTCCCTCCCCCTCCCGGAACCGCGGCGGGGCGAGCGCTCCTCTGCATATTCATCGTCCCTCCTCCCCTTACTCACGTTTGGGGAGGGAAGGCGGCGGGGATGCGGTCGTAGCGCTTGGGGGGTGTGGGCGGCTCGGTGCCGGTGCGGGCGTGGGGAGGAAGCCCCCGCGGCCGGGCGAAAGGAGGGAGGAAGGGGCGCAGGGGGAAGGCGGGGGGGTCCGGGGAAGTTGCGCGGCCGCCGCGGAGGGAGAGGCTGAGGGGAGAGTGCGCGGCGCTGGGGGGGGAAGTTGGGTGCTTTTGCGGTAGGGGCACGGACTTTGGAGGAGTCTCTCGCCTTCTTGCGAGCCGTTGCGGGGGCCGCGCTCGGCTCGGCAAGGAGCAGCCCGGAGGGCGACGGGGAGAGGAGAGCACCGGGACCCACGCGAGACAGTGCCTGCGCCGCCGCCCCGCACTGGGGGCAGGGCTGCACCCGGCGCGGCGCCGGACGCTGAGGAGAAACGCTGCCTCCCTCCTCAGCGGGCAACCGCATCAATCATCCCCGCGGCGGGTGACACCCGCCCCAGCCAATCACCTCTCCCCTCGGGGTCCCGCCCCGCAGCTCCCTCAGCCAATCCATGCCGGGCGGGCGGGCGCCGCGGCGACGGCGCTGCCCGGGATACCGGCCGCGGCGGGAGGGGGAGGGGAGGGGAGGCGGGCGGGCGCATGCGCACTCCCCGCAGCGGGAGGCTAAGATGGAGCCGCCCGGGACGGACGGCATTTGACTACATTTCCCAGCGGGCCTTGAGCCACAGCGCATGCGCACTGGTGGCGGCTGGTTTGCCCTGCGGTGGGCAGGGGAGGGTCTCGTTGGAGCGGGGCCAACGCATGGGGGGTGGGGTGGGTGTGTAGCCCCCCCCCCCCCCCCGGTGGCGGGCTGCTTCTGTGCTGCCTGAGCGCCTCCGGTGAGGAGGAGGAGGAGGAGGAGGAGGAGGAGGGTCGCCGGGTACAGCCCCGTGCGGCCCGAGTTCTCCCCCCCGCAGCGGGCCGGCCGGTAACGTGTCGGGTTTTTTTTTTGGGGGGGGGGGGGGGGGGGAGGAGCTGGAGCTCCGGTCCCGTTCCCCGCCTCAGCCCGGCGCTCTGCCCCGCCGGCGGCGGCGGGAGGCGGGGCGGGCGCTGAGGGGAGGTGGCGGCGGCGGCCCAGCCCCGCCCCGCCCGTGGGGCCGCGCAAGGCGGGCTCCGGTGAGGCGGGGCGGGGGGCGGTTGGCAGCGGTTTCAGCTCGTCCCTCAGCTGGGAGATGCGGTTGCGTTTCCCTGACGGTTCCTCTCGGGAAGTGCCCCCTGCCCGCAGACACCCGGTCCCGCCAGGCTCGGCGGTGTCGGGTAGCGAGGGGCTGGGAAGGCGGGCCTAGAAAACTTGCTCCAGCGAAGCAAAACAACGCACGCTTTCTGCCTCTTACTTTTTTTTTTTTTTTGAAAAAAATCCCGTCACTGTCAATACCCTAATTTAGAGGGGACTGACTCATCATTTCTAAACGCTCAGACTTGCTGGTACAGTCGTTGTTTATTGAGGCACTGATGTTCTGCTTCTTCTTGTAGGGAACAGAGGGCGCAATGGCCTGACTAAGGACCTCAGCATCTTAACCCCAGTAAGTATTTCTGCTGCTGTCATCAACTTGGTGTCTGAACTCCCTGAGCGGGTTTTCAGGGGAGCACAGGCAGCTATTTACTGATCCCTGCAGTGCGAGCCAGGCACTGAAATACTTTTGAGGAGTGGAGATGATACTGTAGACGAGGGCAATTTTGAACTGTCCCTGCCCCACTGCTTCCAGCTGATTTCAGAGGGCAGTTGCTTGTTTTCAGAAGATCTTTGTCAGTAATCTAAGTAAGTTCTTTGTTCTTTTCTTCCCCTTATTTTCTGTTTCCATGAGTTGTTGTATTTGCTGATGTAAACTTTGACAACCTGAGATCTTAGGTATGTAAATTAGGATGAGTGCTACGGCATCTAGGCAGCGCTCTAAGCCAGTGTTTCTGGACCTGTGTGCTCTGGTTTACAGTGGCATCCAGAGGGAGTTGTGTAATGGCAGCACTAGCCTAGGAACACCTATTCTAAATTGTTGGCACTGCCTCTGTAGTTACAGCCTGTTTCACCCTTGCCTTGAAGAAGCTGAGCTACTGTCAGCAATTAAAGGTAGTTAACAGTCCCCTGGCTAGTGTAAGAACCTAAGCCAATAATTATGACTCAGTAGAGGCAAGACATCTGAAAAGAATTCAGATGAGTCCCAAAAAGAGTCATTCTTGCAGAAAAGTTAACTACCATTAGTTAACTAACACCGCAGTAATTACACATACAAATAAGAAATCAGTTTGTAAAAGTACCTGCTAATTTACTAAACAAGAACTTCTATTCCTCCTTGTGCTAGTTTTGGCTGGGATAGAGTTAATTTTTTTCACAGCAGCTAGCAAGGGCTATGTTTTGGGTTTGTGCTGGAAACAGTGTTGATAACAGAGGGATGTTCTAGTTATTGCTGAGCAGTGCTTCACATGTGCCCCCCCCCCCCCCAGCAAGCAGGCTGGGGGTGCACAAGGGTTTGGAAGGGGACACAGCTGGGACAGCTGACCCCCACTGACCAAAGGGACATCCCATATCATACAGCATCATGCTCAGCATACAGAGCTGGAGGAAGAAGGAAGAGGGGGGATGTTTGGGGTGATGGTGTTTGCAATCCTAAGTCACCATTACACATGATGGAGTCCAGCTCTCCTGGGGATGGCTGAACCTGCCTCCCTGTGAGAAGTGGGGAATTAATTCCTTGTTTTGCTTTGCTTGCATGTGCAGCTTCTGCTTTACCTATTAAACCGTATTTATCTCAACCCACAAGTTTTTTCACTTTTACAATTACCTCCCTCATCCCAACCCGGGGTGGAGTTAGCGGCTGTGTGGTGCTTAGTTGCTGGCTGGAGTTAAACTATGACACTCTTCCTTACAGACAAAAAAAAAAAGTTTAAAAGGTACAATTTTCAAGTGTAGTTGTGGACTGCTAAGCTTCACTGATTTGCTCAAAAGTATTGATGGCCTTGGATGCACTGAGGATAGAGAGCTTGGTATCATCTACTAGATCTTCCTTTGTTAGCTTTTCATACATTGCCAGAAGAGTGACAGAAAAAAAACCCATCATCAGACTTTGCACAAGTCCTGGGGAAAGGATGGGACTGAGCTCACCTGAGAATGCATTTGGTATACACTTTGAAGGTCCCCTTTCACAGGTCCTAAAGACAATTATCAGTGCTTTGTGTAGTGCTGTTATCAAATATACCTGTACCAAGAAATACCTATTCTCTGCACTCTCTCTAGGCTCATTGGCATGTCAGCCATCGTTTTAGGAAGCGGGGAAGTCAGGTATGTGTGTACATTTCCAGGTTGGAAAGTTTTGGAAGATGTGGAGCTGACACCCACTGCCCATCTCTGCTTTTCCTCCTTATCCTCCTCCTCTTTATTTTGACCTCTTGACTCTGAACTGCAGTAGGTGAGAGATGGGAGATTCTGAATGGAGTTTCAGTTCTTTTTTCATATTAGGGGCCCATTTCTTACTCTGGTGGAGCACTCACAAGTAGAAGTATAGGGAATGATTGCCAGGCGTCAAAGAAAGAAGAGTTTCGTGGGCTTCATTGTATTTTCTATACTTGATGGGAGGATGAGGGAGGTATCTTACTCTCTTCCTTCTGTTCCCAAGCCCCTTTGCTCTGATTGCAAGAAATCTTTCCTGTCTAGAAACACAAATCTGGGGTTTTCAGAAGTTTGTTGAAACTGTTACCTTACTAAAGATCTGAACTGACAGCAGTGGGAATCAAGGGAACCTATAACCAGATCAACAACTCATGCAACTGCTGTGTAACATACATATTATGTATATATATATAGTATTATGTACTTCATATAGCATATAAATATTCTAGTAACTATAGTTATTACAGTCATTATGGTTATTCCAGCTCATCAGCATAAAGTTCAGAATTCTTAATATGAGGACCATAAAATTCCAAACCTCCAAAATGAGGATTGGTGGTACAAGGAATTCTGGCTGCTTCCTTTCTCTGCCTTCATTGAATATTGCTAAAATTACATAATCACTAAAGCCCTGTCTCTATTAGAAAAGATAGTGTCTTCTGATAGTTACTCATTATACTTCATAGGTATAGACAAATCAGATGAGTTATCCCTTCTAATGAATTGCTGTTTCTGCACCATTGAATAGTTTAATCCTGATCTTCTACAGTTACATATGGGTTGTTTTGTTTTGTTTTGTTTTTTTGCTTGTCTGTTTATGAGGCTAAATTCATACTTACCTGGATCATGATAATATAATTTTACAAGTCTATTCATTCTGCTAATGGCTGAAGGTTTTGAAACAAACCTGCAAAAAGGTTAACATGCAAGATGAGCAGAGCTGAGGTTTGCAAGTATGAAGACGAGCAGACAAGTCATAGTTCATGCTTTCATGCAATATGCATTGTCTGTGCACTGGACAGTGTACACCACTTACAGATATTTGGGCCAGAAATACCTGTTCACGTCAGCAAATGATGAGGGATTAATGGATTCTAAAATCTGGAAAACAAATCTAGCTGAGCTGGTCCTTTTTCTGCTTCCCAGTAAAGGCTCAAGAATTTCATAAACTTCCCGAACACTCTCCTAATGTAGACCTGCCATTCTGAACCTTCTGTGTCTCTTTTTTTTCTTAAAAAGTCAAGTCCTACTTAAGGAAATGGGTATTTCACTGGATACAGCTCCTCATCTCTTCCTCTGCTTGCCCCGAGTCTGTTGCACTCGCTACCTCTTTTCACACCCATTTTCTGGCTGCTGCCATCTCTTTCTTGTACCTGCTGCACCTAGGGAGCTTAAACAGCACCGGCATGAAAGGTGAGCGAAAAATTCTGGACTTTGCACTGCAACACACAACTGCTAGTTCAAGGCAGAAGTACATCTGAGTTGTCCCAGCAACTGGAGTCAACCAGTTGTGGAGTCAACACAGATCAAGGGGAGCTTATTCCATTCCTGTGGGCTCCACATTCCCACAGCGCGTTCGAGATACACACCTCAACAGTTGGAAACCACTGACAAAGGCATCAACCTGACCCCTGACCAAATTCATACCAACCCTCAGGCTTGTTTCTGTAAACTGTGGCACAGGACCCAAACGCTTCTGATGAAAAACCGGCAGCGTTTGTTAGAGCAGGTGGCAAGGAGGTTGTCTGAAAAATAGTAAACCGGTGTTTCAAAACTCAGGGTCCAGCCTACTAGGCTTTTGATAAGAGCAGGACAGTTTATTTTCTTCATGTCCACCAATGACATTTCTTTTTCAGTTTTATTTAATTTACCCAGAATCACTCTTTTAGAATAGGTATCTCGAGATGATTTCTCTTTTATAAAACATACTCTTTGTTGTGAATATTTTGGGGAATGGCCACTCAACATTTAGGGTATTTCTGAGGCAAGCATTTGTAATTAAGCTTGGGACAATTTTTATTCTCCTTTTAAAAATTAAATGGGATTCTTAGACAAACTGTTAAGCACCTAGGTTTTTTAAAATAAAAGGACTATAAAAGGTGAGTCAAAATGTGTCTGTTATTACAGACTGCTATGAGAAATTCAGGTCACTGCAGTGCATTTGGCTCGTCTTTGCTTTTGGTTTGTAGTTTGTCTTTACAAACTTTTCCCCCTTATTTTCTCAGGGTCAGTTTCCTTGCCAGGTTCCTGAACTAGAATCTGACAAGAAGGGCCACAGATATTGGAAACTGTGCTCTTGATAACACAGCAAATGCAGCCTTTCTCCTCTGTCAACAATTCTAAGATGGTGTGGTTTAATTTTTTTTAGAAGAAAAATGCAGCACTTTTAACTGTATGGGAAAAACTAAAGCCTTACAAAGCATGTATCTCCTAATAATAAACAGAAAGGAAAAAATGAATTTCTAGCTTAATTTTTGTTTATTTACTTATGATACAAAACATGCTCTGGGATTTACCCACTGATCTTACCTCTGGGGATAAGTCCTGTAGGTAGTCCTGGGACTGGAAACTGGAAATGAGGATCCAGGTGAGCCAGAACCCCCGAAGGTCCTCCCTGCCCACCAGAGAGGTGTTGCAGAGCTGCTGGTGGAGAGCACACACCGCTGTGCTTCTCCCAGGTTTTCCCTTTTCATCGAGCCTGGAGGGGAAATGTTGCCTTCTTGCGCATGCAGATAAAGGGACAGAGAATATATGAACCCATTCTAAGGTGTTCAGGAGTCACCTCTTTACCTTAGAGTTTCATTTTTTATTAAAAAAAAGGAAGTTTTAACCTTAACGGCTCCTAAGCAAAACATGAGAAGGTGACCTGACAATATTAAATACATGGATGTCCCCTGGAAACAACACTTTACCCGAGGCTCAGGTAGACACACCTCAGTGGGATTTTGACTTGAGAGATGTACCGCTCTCCTACTAGCTATTCAGCAGAAAATACACAAGTTACAAGAGTACAGCAGGCCCAGGCCTGGCATTGATCGGGTATACCCTGGCTCCAGCTGCGGGCAACCTCTAAACGCATCTTCTACTCCAGGTGGAAGCAAAGATGAGTCTCCTGATGGAGGCACAAAATCCTTTGCTGCTCTTCTGCCTCTCTGGTAGGCGAGTATCGTCTCATTCCGCATGTCCCAGGCCAGGAATAAGGGTGTCAGGAAGGGAGGTGGCCTAAGTAGAGGTGTGCTTACAGCCATAGACCAATTGTTTCTGAGAACGCTGGTATTTTTAAAATGCATAATTTATGGTTCTATTCCATCAGGATTAATACTGCTTTTCATTTGAAATGATATTATTTTCGTACTTCAGTGATTGTAGAATCCTTTCCACTGTTGCACTGAATTTATTCTACTGCGTTAAAACAAATCTCAAGCATGAACAATATTAACTGTTCATTTCAGGCATTTAATAATTGTGGTCTTTCCTACCCTCAGAAAATAATGTTTTATAGCAGGACAGAGGTTTCTGGACTAAATGCTAAAAGCCAGCCTGGACAGCGTAGACACTAAGCCTCCTGAAACCATCAGGGAAAGGAAAAGCTGCTGCATTCTTCTGATCTGTTGGTAGTTTCATTTGTGATAGCTAAACCTGGAATTAAGGCTAAAAAGCATCCATTGTTACTTAGTATTGATTTGGACTCTGTCAAAGTGCTTGTCGCTGTACAGAACAAAGAAGACAACAGAGTTAATGAAAACTCTTAACAGGATGTGTGTTGAACGGCAAAGACATCAAAACCGGCTCACTATGGAAACTGAAATAATTGGCTCGTGAAGCTTCCTAAGACACATATAAAGCAAACATTTACAAAGGTTATTGGATGGTATCTTCAGTTTCATCCTAGGTAGCCTCAAATTAGCAAGTCCATAAAACAGGTGTCTTATTTAATCAAAAATTTAAGACTGTTAAATGAAAAATATTGTGGAAAGTGTGTACTAGGAAAAAAAAAGGAAACATTTGTCACTGGCAGGGCTTTATATCTGCTACTCTCTAAAATGAAGCAAGATGTAGATGGACATCTATTATTACGTAAAAGCAATGACTTCAAATGATCACATTACACATGAGAAAAATCTATCAAACCTGACCCTGGCAGGTAGAAGAGGAAACAATACAAGGACTTGTGTGAGGCTGTTCACCACAGGCAGCCCTGTTCCCTGCGGCATCCAGTCAAGATGGGCCGCGATGCCTCAGCATTTACCTTCCTCCCAGAGGCCAAGAAGATGCTTTAGCAGGTGAATAAAGCAACAGTCTGGGAGACCTGGAAAGGCTCCGCTCCGACCAGCCTGCCTAGAGGCTCGGCTGGAGGAAGACAGTCGGGAGCAGGGCAGACGGCGTGTGCTGGAGCCGACGGCCCGCTCTCTCTTCTCAGACAAGAGCAAGGGTGGTCACAACTGGAGCTCGTCGGTCTCAACTTCAACACGTGCCAAGAGGATGCTTCCAAAAAGTAGCAGTGGACCTGCGGTACTCCTTGCCAAAGGCTGGAGGTGAATTGGGTTCAGAGAGGCTGGGGAAATTCATAGTAGAGCAATTTATTGAGGGAGGGTGAAAAACTGGAGGGGTAGAGGGGGTGCAAAAAGCCCCAAAGAATTCATCTGAGGATGTCATCTGGTTGGAAGCTGGGATAGTAGCAGGGAAAATGCTATATACGCTTGTAGAGTTCTCACTTGTTTCCTTGGTACTTGCTCATAGTTACTTTTGGAAACAAGGTGCTAGTTAAAAAAGACTTTCGTCACCCTTAGGTCTGTTCCATTATACTGTTACTCACATTGGTTAAACAGCTCATCGTTTCCAAAAGGGCTCAAGACACTGCAGCCAGTTAGGCTCCGTTTCCTTGGTATGCTCTGAAAGAAACAAAAAACATCCACACTGAGATGAGGGATGCATCATCAGAAAACACACGCCCTTTGCTTGTCCCAACACTGGGAAGGAAGCGGACCTGGACCGTCACCCGGCCAAGGCCCAGGGCACTTCACCCGGTACCTAGCAGCAGTTCATGTAATTTTTGAAAATATCCAGGTCGGGTGGGACTTTACACCAGTACGTGGGAGTAAGGAGGGCGCAGAAGTGGGTTTTGAGACCGATTTATTAAGTCCAGCTCGGGAATGTCATACCACGTTCCTCTTTCAGGAGCTAACAGGCTGCCGGCCGTTCCCCCAGCCGAAAGGTGCCGTAACACAGATTCGCCCCCCTCCCCGCCCCGTTTGCCCGAACTGACACAGCGGAGACCATTTCGTTAAAGTATCCCACGTTCCCTACAAACGCCCCCGCTAAAAATTTCCTCAGGAAGAAACCGCGCGCCGGCGCGGCGGACACCGAAACACAAGGCCGGGGACGCGCTCGCTCGGCCCAATTCGAGGGGGGGGGGGGGGGGCACCGCCCGACCCAGGCCCCGGACTCACCGCGGGGGCCGCTCCGAGGAACGGCCGGGCCGACCCCTGCCCGCAGGCCCCGCCTCTTCCTGCCGCTCCGGCTGTAGCTACCCCTGCTCGCCCGCTGTTTCCCGGCACAGGCGGCGCCGGGTGTCGCGACGACAGGCGCGGCGGGTTGTGCTCCTTTCCTTCCCTCCCTCCCCGCGGGGAGGCGGAGCCGGCGGTTCCCGGCCGGGGGCCCGTGGCCATGCTGCGCGGAGCGGCGGCGGCGGCCTGGCGGTGCGGCCCCGGCCCCGGCCCCGGCCCCGGGCGCGGCGGGGGGGAGGCGGTGGCGGCCCGGCGGTGTTGGAGCGCGGCGCGGCGGCGGGAGTGGGTGCCGCCGGCGGGGCGGGACAGCGGGATCGTGGCTTACAACAGCCGGAGCCGGAGCAAGGAGCCGCTCGTGCTGGCGGCGGAAGGAGTAGCGACCTGGTAGCGCCCCGCGGGACGGCGGGCGGGCGTGGGGCGGGGCGGGGGGACCGGGCCGCGCCGCGCCGCGCCGTGGGGCTGGGCCGGCGCTGACGGGCGCCGCTTGTCTCCCCCCTCCGCAGGTACAGCTGCGGGCCGACCGTGTACGACCGGGCGCACCTCGGGCACGCCTGGTGAGTCGCGTCCAGAATCGCGGGGGGGTTCCGTCTTGCGTGGGAACGACGCGGGTGGGAGCCCGGCGGCGGGGGTGCGGGGCATCCCCAGGGCTGCCGCGGTCGCGGGCAGCGTGTGTCCGGGTGACAGACCCCACTGGGAGCCGCTGTGGGGGTTCCGGCTCTTCCACTCCTGACCCGTGCAAAGGGCAAAATCCTATTTGTGTTTGGTTTTCTTTTTTTTTTTTTTTTTTTTTTTTTTTGTTTTGTTTTGTTTTGTTTTGTTTGTTTGTTTGTGTTTTTTTTTTTTGTTTTTTTTGTTTTGGTTTTTTTTTTTCCCTCTCGGCCTCAGGGAGCACGGAAAGGGCTGTCGGTGCAGCTCGTCCCAGACAGAGAGATGTGGGATAGAGAGGTGTGGGATGTGGGATGGAAAGTATTAAGAACGTGCGCTTTTTTTTTTTTTGGTAGTCAGGGTGAGTTGTTTCTAAATCACATCGGTGTAACGTGGCCTCCTGTGTAGAGGAGTTGGGGTCCTGGAGCAGAGCCTCTTATCTGTGTGAAATTAGAGTTTTGCCTCCGTTTCAGTTCGGATATTGCGTTGGCACCAGGGAAAAGCCGTTGAGGGTTTACTATTAAAAAGATGATTTTAAGGTTAACGGATAAATGCCTAGGTAGCTTAAAGGCCTTTTTGTATAGTAACAGTTCAGTGGCTTACTGGGTTCAAAACACACCACCCCCACTGCCCACATTCCCCCCCCCCCCAAAAAAAGCACATGGTCTTTGTGGGTCATTAGGATAATTATAATAATAAATACGCCAGAGAAGGCTCCTGCCAGTTGTTTTAAAACAATATACCTGATGAGAATGCGTGCAGGATGTCAGCTTTTGTTGGGCTCCTGTCTCTTAATTCTTAAAAGAGCAAGAGGCATTGGGCTCCTTGGAAGAGCAGGGTTTCTCAGATAATTGCCATTTGTGTGAAGATTGGACGCTGTGTGTTTGACTAATTAATTCCCTTTTAACGTATGGCAATTCACAGCTTCTGGTCTTGTCTCAACTTCGTTCAGAAACTCATGTTGAATTTTGCTGTATGTTGAGCTATCACAGTACTGCACTACCGTGCCCTCTTTCTGTAAAAGAGAAATTTTAAAGTACCAATTCTGTAAAAATACTGTTGGCAACACCTTAAATGGTGTTGTACTGCTGCGTGTATGTGGTGGTGTCTTTTTCCTCCTTGCTTTTGTCCAGTCTTAGCAGAAAACTAACCTAGCTTTTTACTGGTGATCCAAAAATCAAGAAAATGATACCTTGAATTATTTCGTTTGTACTTGGCACCTTCAGGGGAACTTTAAAAAGTCATAGCAGTGTGTGTATTTAAATCTACAGTTACTGTAGTGCAGACTATGTTACAGTTTACCTTGAAATAATTACAATTTAAAATCATCACTTGAGAGCAACTGTATAAAAAGATGCTAATAAATTTATTTTCCTCATCGCTCAGTTGAGGTTCTCTAGTGCGGTAGGGCCTGTCTTCCCTGATGTGGTGTAGCAGGGGAGGGAATTGTAGAAGTGCTCCTGTCTGAAGGGGTATGGTAGATCTCGAGCACAGTCTGTACAGAGGTGGAGAATTTCACCTTTTGGTCGTGCAGCGCTCTGTGGCTTTTGAATGTCTTTGTTTGGTCAGTGGTTCTTCTTGTTCACCTGCCTTCAGGCTCTCGATTAAAGGAGGGAGTAGGAAAGCCTTGCTCGCTCCACCTGTTCTCTTACCCTATATCTAACCTAACAATTTCAATCTTTCTTGATGTGGAGGTTTGCCATGTGTCTGTGCCACCTGGATTTGGTCCCTCCACTTGCTGATTTAAGAAAGAACAGTTAGGGCTGAATATTGCCTTTGGAGTGGTGTATCATGCAGATAAGAAGCTGTGTTTATACAATTTCTGCCGTCTCTTTAGCGCCTTCACGTGTTGTTCCTGTAGCGTTGTTGTGCAGCAAGGTGCCCGCACTGAAGACCTTCCTCTCTCTTTTCTGGTCAGTTAAGCCCTCTAGCCTGTGAGGAGTTGGCTGTTCCTTCCCAGGGTCTGCAGTCTTGCACGTGTCAGCATTGACATCGTGTTGCTCAGCTCATTTGTTCAGGATGGTGGAACACTTTTGATTTTATAAATATTTTTGTTGTTGTGGTGGTGTGTTTTTTGTTTTGTTTTTGTTTTTTTTGTTTTTTTTTTTTTTTTTCCCCTTCCCCCAGTAACTAGGTCCAGATGTGTGGAGCTTTGGTAGGCACAGCTGAACTGCATTCTGCTGCTGGGGGGTCTGCAGGCCAGAAAATGCACTGAGAAAGAACGTGAAGTCAAATGGAGTGATGGCTATTGCTACAGCACTACTCTTGTAAAATACCATTCTTTTGTCACACTCTTGCAATCTGTTATAATTAGAATTCTTTTTTTCCCTTCTTTTTGCATTTGACTTGTGGCAGGCACAACAAACACAGCAGGTAATAATGCAGAAACAAATAATGGAGATGAGCTTGAGAAGCTTGAGAGGAATTTGAAAATAATGACACTATTTTTCTCTCTTCCTTCTTCGCCTCCATAAGGATTTATTTCTCTAAGTAATCCAACTTCCTCTAGTGTGTTGTGCTTCCAGACTTCAAAACAGGTGCTCTATATGCCGTGATGCAATATCCAAAATTTATTCTGTGTAAAGAAGAAAATCAGGTGGGCAGATAGTGCCATCTTTTCCCTCAGTTCTGAGACTGGCCTTGATCATGCTGGTGTGAGCTGCATCCAGGTTCCTGGCTGAATGCTCAGAAATAAGAGTAAAACCAAGCATGAGAGGAGACTTTAGTCCCTTGTGCCTGCTCTGCTACTCCCCCGATTCTGATTTTTTGTGTTTTTTATTTTTTTTTTTAATTTTCAGTCCTGCAGTGGTAAGGACCCTGCTTTCTGAGGTGTCAGGAGATCTACTTTGGCTTTTCCAGTGTTTCTTCCATCAGTTCTATTGGAAGATGAAAAGAGAGGGAACAGTGTGAAATTTCTGTCTGCTCTGGGACTGTGACTGCAGGGTTGTTAAATCTAATATTAAGCTTTTGACGCTGGCATTGTTCCTCTGAACAGGGTCCAAAGATCCATTTAATATTCTTATGGAATCGTGTCACCACATCACATGAACCTCATTCCCGGTGAGCTGGTGTTCATTAAAAACTGTCTCTCTGGCAGCAAGACTTTCAAAAAGCCTTTCTCAACATGGGCACAGTGCAAACAAAAACAGCAGAAAGTGGTTTTCTTCCTCAAGACGTTACGCATCCATAAATCTGATCGCTGATGCCACCCGGCCCCTGCGGCCGGGGGGAAGGATGCAGATCCGTTCCCAGCACTTGCTTACACTTGTTTGCTCTGACAGCCACGGGAGTTGCGGTTTGTGCCGGTGCAGGGGGTGAAATGGGAACCTGTAGGTCTGCGAGTCTCCTTTCGGGCTCTGTTTTCTCCGAAGCCAGGGCAGGCTGAGGATTCTTGTCACCTTGCAGGGCAGACCCAGAGCTTCTAGTCACCTTCTGATATCTCAGCCTAATAATTGGGTTTTGTTCGGTCAAAGTGTGTTTTGAGAATTACAAGTGGAGAGTCCGTGAGCGGCAGAAGGGGCTGCCACAACCCTGCAGTTTGTAAGTACATCAGTCTATCAGCATTAAATACTCTGTTTTGTGACAAAGAGCCTGAATAATTTTGAGAATTTATTCTCGAGTGTAATTAAAACAAAATAACCCACAGAACAGCTCTTCTTTGATATCAGAAAGACAGCAAAAAATATGGTAAAGAAAGAAAAGATAAATAGTTCTTCTTTGCTATCTGTGGTTGTGTGTGAATTAGATAATATATTGGTGGCTGGTAGCTGTAGTTGTTACGCAACCCTAAGCAGATTTCATTTGAACCCTGTTTTATTGTTCCATGTTCTTCTGCCCTGTGGCTTTTGAAAACATGTTAGAATATACAAAGCCCGAGAGATGTCTTTCAGGAATACCTGATCTGTGTGCCTTTGTACTGTTTGATTTGAAAGAGTCTCCTGGCTCACATGGAACTTCCGACGCACTTTAGTGCTTGAATAAACAGATCCAACAAAAGAAAATACTCAGAAAATTTGATGTAATGTGTCACTAATGCCAGAAGAGGGTAGGCCAGTTCAAGGGAAATTTGCTTGACTTTTGTGCAGGTGGTAACTGGTTTTGGAAAAGCTCTTTATGCACTGAAGACCTTTCCATTGCAAGTGTTGGGGTATTTACATTATCCCTGTAGCTGTTAGTGCTGTTGGTTATTTTTGTTTAAGCTTATTCTTACTACTGCCTGTTTAAAAGTTTGTGTGTTTTCTCTTCCAGCTCCTATGTTAGGTTTGATATACTTCGAAGGATAATGACTAGGTTTTTTGGAATTGAAGTTATCATGGTGATGGGGATCACAGACATAGATGACAAGATAATAAGAAGAGCCAATGAGGTAGGTGTTCACTGCAGTCTTTGACCCAAACTTTGGTATTTTCTACAGCTACTTGCATAGGAGAATTAACATGGGTTTGCCTTTTTTTTGGTTGAGTTTTGTTTGTTTTAATTAGCACATAATAGATGTTGAATTTTCTGGTCCCCGAGCATGGCTGTAATGGGGCTGGGAGTCTGGAGGGCTGGGAGCTGAGAGCTGCGTGGGGGTTAGGTGGGTGCAGAGCTGGGTGAGGGGGCAAGGCAGGGAGGGATGGGTTACAGCACCCATGGCTGGGGGGGTCCCCCTGCCCTCGCCCCCTGCCCGGGAGACCAGCTGGGAACAAAAAGCCAGGGTCAATCCTCACCCGAATGAAGGGTATCTTATCCCGAACGCAGCCCAAAACTTAGCAGCCGGGAGGCTTCTGGCTGAGTTCTGGAGAAGCGTGGTGTGCCGTCGATCATTAAAGGCAGGATGGGTGGCACTGCCACACGCGAGGCTGAGGGCGGTTCCTGAAAGGTGCTGAGCACCGTCTAGATACAACGTCAGTGCCTTGGGAAGTCTTGTCCAAGTCAGTCACCTACATGAAAGCTGACACTGAATGGAGGGGTAAGTCTTCAGAAGGCTGGGGGTGTAAGTGGTTCTCAGTTGGATTTTCATCAGACCTTTTTGCTAGCTGAGCTTGGTGAATGATTATTCCAATTACTTTTTTCCTTTTTGAAACACTTTTTGGACTCTGAAACACTAGGAATGTATTCTGTGTTTTATGATGTGTTTTGAATTTTTTAATTTTGTGTTTAGAATCTGTAGCTTATGTCTTCTGGATCGTAAATGAATGTGGTGGATCAATTTGCAGTTGCAAGCTTTAAGCTAGTTTCTTGGAGCCAGAGAATTTGACAGCTGTCACTTTTATTTAGTCTTTAAGTGAACAGTTCCTATGGCAGTTAAACGTAGGGCACTCCATTCAAATGAATACTAGCATGCCGCTCCTATGGAAATACATGTGTGTTCCCATAGTCTATTTACTTGCAGTTTTCTAAGGCAGTAGGCCATCCTAAAAACAAAACAAACAAACAACAAAAAAACCCCAAAACAAACAAAAAACCAAAACCCCCAGGCATTTTAAATCTACATGTGTGCATTTGAAAATTTTTCCTTATTGTCAGAACATTATGGAGATTTCATGTTTGAGGAGGGGGAAATGACATGATGTTTTAAAAGAATTTGTGTTTATTTACTGCATTCTTTGGTTCTATGAAGTAACTTTTTAATGGCTTTTTTTGTGACTTTTTGAAATGCCTGCTTTGCTCTGCACATTTTGTTTGGATCGCCAAGGCCTCTACCTCAGTAGCCTGGTTTTGTTTTTGGGTGCTCTGTACCTGAAGCATTGCAGTTGTAGGATCAACGTGCCCGAGCTTGTTCTTCATCCTCTGGTGGGATTAATTTGGAGAAAACCTGAAAGCTGGGCATCTAGTCTATGATGAGTGTGCTGCATGTCCTCAGTGGTCCTTTGAGAGGGAGATGAGTCTTTCTGTGTTTTGAACATCCATCTGGACAGGAGGAATTTCCCCGTCTTCCTCCTGTAGTCACCTCTGTTGGTTGAAGAAGCAGCTGGAGCTGTCTAGGGAGATGAGTTTGGGTGCTGGGGTCTGGAAGAGCCCTCTTTCTGATCTGTAGGCTGAAGCATGCCTTCATTTCTCAGTATCTTCCTCATTTTATTGCTGGATAAGCATCTGGTCTGCCTTCACCAGAACTCTTGCCTTGTCCATGAGCTTGTCCAAATAGTGGTACCCACCTGTGCCCTGAAAATCAGACCCCTTAAAGATGCTCCAGATGCTTCTGGTGATGAAACCAGATTTATTTTGTTAATGATTCAGTTATCTGGACAGTATGTTGTCTTCTCCTCAGAAGATGTGAAATCTCGCAGTTGGAACACTTTGATATCATGCTTTTCCTTGTCAGGACAGGTTTTGCTGTCACGCATCTTTAAAGCCCTGTCCTCTTCTGAATATTTGAGAACAAGTATTTTGTCATGTACAGGTTGTTTCTTTCCTTTTGGGTTGTGCTTTCTTGTTACCTCTGTGAGGATCCCTGTTCCTGGTCATCACCCCCTGCATGAGAAATGCAGAGAAGGTGCTTGAGAAGTGCCGCACTTGGCAAAGCGTGGGATGGAATTTCAGTTCATTTCCCCTGATTGGACTGAGATCTATGGGTAACTGGGATCAGCTGAAATAGCTTATTTTTCTTAATCACTGAAAATTAATATCCTGTCTCATACTGCAAGTCTCTGATCTGTCTTTCTGACATGTAGGTGGTATCGGTGTCCCCTGCCAATAAATGGAATGAATTTCACGTCCCGTGTACCGTAGTGTATCTTGTCACTGGAAATGGAAGACTCTCTCAAGGAAAATAATGAGAGAGGGAAGGAGTTTATTATTTTAATCTTTGGTTGCTTTGTCTTAAAAGATATGTATTAATATTGTGGCAATTCAGAAGCATAAATGAAATACTGCTGTTAAGTTATTTATAACTTACGTCTCCTCCCCATGAATGTTAGATTAATAAGCCTTTCTGACTCTTTACCTTGGGGGCTCTGTAAGTCTTCCAATTAGCTATTAACTGTCTGATAAAAGATGGCAATATTTTATATTATTACTTTGATTTATGATTTACTAATCTGCTTCTCTCTTTTTCAGATGAATATATCCCCAGTAGCTCTTGCTCGTATTTATGAAGAAGACTTTAAAGAAGATATGGCTGCCTTAAAGGTACAGATACTGAAGCTTCTAAATTTAAGAGCATTTTAAAGCAATTATTTTGGTAAGGAATCTGATTTTGACAGTTTGATCTAAAAGTATAATTTGTTTGCTTGTGTGATGAAGTGTTGCTTGGAAACTGAGTACTGATTTACTTTTTTTATTCTTCTGGAAAGATATTGCACACCTTTTGAGTAAGGAAATAGGGGAGAAGCAAACCCTAGTTTTGCAATGAACAAGTTAAATTTCTTTAGGAACACAATTTTTTTTTTTCCCCCCCATGCAATAGAGCCTTGGTGCATAGATAATGCATATTTACTATAATAGCCCGATCTAAAGCATAGGGAACATCAAGTATTCTTTTGTTGATTTCAGGTGATTTAGCTTCTTGTCCAAAATGCTTGCCAGAAGCAGGGAGTAAGCCACTGGGGAAAAAATAATGGATTTTTTTGCCACCGCTCTTTGTTTGTTTATTTATTTATTTATTTATTTTAGATAATATCAAGGAGAATGTTCTTTAAAGTTTGTTTCTTAGAGTGAAGGGACTTGTCAGCACTGTGTTTTATACAGGCTAATGAGATGTTACCTTTCGTTGTTTAAGGTCCTTCCTCCTACAGTATATATGAGAGTGACTGACAATATTCCTCAGATAATTTCCTTTATAAAAACAATAATTGCTAATGGACAAGCTTACGCAACCTCACAAGGTAAGATTTACAGCAATGCAACTCTTTGTTCTGCACGTGTACAGGAGATCAGTGCTCGTAATAATCCTGTTTTGGCATCAGAAGAGATACCCTGCACCAGGCTTTCTTTCTGTTGATTAACAGACAGGGTGTGAGCAACTCATGTGTGAAGATGTGAGTGGGCAGAACAACTATTACTCAATTTATATGTTAAATGTAGCTCATTACTTAATATAATTGTTTACTGTAATGAACTGCTATCTAAGCTCCTGTGGGGAAGTCCTGGCCTGGCTTCTACAAGAGAGTGGTGGGGGGGAACCTCTTAGCTTTGAACAGGAGGTGGGTTTCTCCTATGTGCTGTGAAAGGTGTGCCTGAAAAGCACAATGTGTGGATTTTAATTTTTTTTTTTTTTTTTTTTTGGCAGTGCTGGTGGTTTTAGAAGGATTCGAGTGCATTTATAACTGGAGTAGCAGTAGGCTGTGTTGCAGTCAGGGAGGGTATTGCTGATTGTGCTGCATGGGAGGGGAAGAACTTGGGGAGATTTCCAGAATACAGAGTTATCCTATATGCAGAATGGACACATGCAGTGAGGTTACTGGAAAGCTGGTAGCATGGAAGCATCTGCTACTGCTTTTTGGTATTTCTGAATTTCTAAATCAGAATTTAAAATGGGGGTTGAAGAGCGTCTTGTTTTGCTTTCAGGGAAATGTTATCTCCTCATCATGAATGTTGCCCTATCTTTACTATAAAACTAAACATTTATTTTCTATTAGGCAATGTTTATTTTGATGTTAAGTCTTGGGGAAGAAGATATGGAGTACTAACTACTATTTATCCTGATACCCAAGACAAAGCAGGTAAGTTCATGGCACCAATTTGTTTGTATTAACGCATTGTTTGAACTTGTGATGTATCTGTGCATAAGCTTTCATTCAGCAGTCTGAAACAGTTTTCTAACCTGTTGTGTATAGCCAGTGTTTTGGTTAAGACTACATTGCTTTCGTAATTATTTATTGAGCCACTCACTGTTGCCAGTGCAAGAAGAAACTTGGTGGTCTCTTTTCATACTTGGTTCCCTATATGCCTTTGTTCTGGTACCTTAGAACAATTAGGATTCTTAATCAATTTTATTTAAATACTTGAGTGGTACATGCAAATGTCATAGTGAGGTGGTGGTCTCAGCTGTTGCACTCGCCAGCAGTGAGATAGTCAAGGGTAAATTCAGGGAGGCTTCATCTACCATGTTAGTGTTTGGGCAGTTGCACTCCTCTGATGCTTGCTAGCTGGATGAATTTGCTTCTTTACTTACCATCAGCCTACTGCTAAGCAGCCTATTTTGTGTGAGGGTGAGCAATCCCTCGATAGGCTGTGCCAGAGCATGCCTATACCCTGGGCTGTGTGGTTTTTGCTGCAGTTGTCTGGCTGCTGAGCAGGATTGCTGAGCCTCTTTGTAGGTTCCGTAAGCTGGGTCTAATCAGGTCTCTGCATTGGAGAATTTGATGCAGAGTCTTCTGCATCCTTTTGCACGTTGAAGTTCAGTGTTTCTTAATTGAAAAAATCTGTTTGCGATTACGGAAAATGCCTGGGAGGCTGATGCTCAGGTGAATTGCAGCCAGAAACTTCTCATAGCTCCACTCTGGAGTTGTTTCAGCATTACAACTCACAGAGGGAATGCATTTTGTCAACAGTTATTTAGAGGCAATTACTGACTGCAAAGGCAGCCAACAGCCTCCTGGGCTGCACTGGGAAGAGTGTTGCCAGCAGGTCAAGGGAGGTGATCCTCCTTCTCTGCTCAGCACTGATGAGACATGCCTGGAGTGCTGGGTGAGGTGCTGGGCGAGAGAGGCATGGGTATATTGGAGAGAGCCCAGCAAAGAGCCACAATTATGACGGAGGTATAAGAGCATCTTTCATATGAGGAAAGGCTGAGAGAGCTGGGACTGCTCATCCTGGAGAAGAGCAGGCTCAGGGGGATCTTACCCCCATATGTACAAATAGCTGGGGAAGTGAAGAAGGTGGAGCCAGGCTCTTAGTGGTGCTTGGTGACAGGACAAGAGACAAAGGGCACAATCTGAAACACAGGAAATTCTACTTCAACCTAATAAAACCCCTTCTTCCTCTGGGGATGGTTAACACAAGAACATGTTGCCCAGAGAGGCTATGGAGTGTTCATCCTTGGAGATATTCAAAACCCAACTGGATGCCATCCTGGGCAGCCTGCTGCAGCTGAGCCTGCTCTGAGGAGGGGCTTGGACTACACGATCTCGAGGTGCCTTCCAGCCTCAACCATGACTGATTTTGTGTTTTACCCTGTTTCCTCTCGAGTCACTAACAACTAAATTTACTGTTATTTCTAAAGATTTTGACTGTTTTGCTTATAACTGAGAAGGTAAAGAGTGCTTTTTTGCAGCATTACACTCAAAAAAAGGCAAAAGAGGGATGGGTCAACAGATACTGGTCAGCCAGAGCTTGGCAAACTAGTGGAAGAGTCGAGATGAAGATTCAGTGGATAAAACTAGGGTTATATTTCTATCCCTTTATTTCTTCTCAATTTTGAATGATGAAGCAGGTGTAATAGATTTTTGTAATGTGCTTCCCTTAATATTGTATGACATTCTGAATAAAAACTGACTCTGTATATCAGTAAAGTACAAGCGGAATGGCTCAAGAAAAATGACCATCTAATAGATCTCCAAAAATAGCTGTGAATCATCATTAAAATGTGTTGATTCTGGAATGCTCCAGGGACTGGTTCAGACCCAGTGAAACACTGTGGTTTTGTTAATGATCTGATATAAGGAAAGAAGTAAATCTAGCATCAGCTGCTGATAAAACAGATGAGCGGTGTTAAATAAGGGAACTTAAGACAGTATGAGTTGCTTGCCAGGCTGGATCCCTTCAAGCCAAATAGGTATATTTTTCTGCATCGGTCAAATGCAAGATCATGTATTTGTCAGCAAAAAAATGCAGAGTCCAGAACCCTGTTCTGTAGCTCCTGCCAGGGTGTGGTGTGTGTCCAGCCAGGGGTTAGGAGCCAGCAGAGATGAACCTTTCTCTGCGGTACTGTGGCAAAAAGAACTGCATCCTTGGCTGTGTAGTGAGGGAATCAACAAATATAGCTGGGGAGGAGACTTTTGTAGAGAAGCCGTTGGTGAAAATGGTACTGGAAGATTGCTACTGTCCAATAATAGTAATCTGAACCAGAAACTGTTTGTGTCCCAGAGAAATAATTGTGGTGTGTAGTGTTTTTTTTTGTTTGTTTGTTTATTTGTTCGTTTGATGGTTGTGTTTGTGGGTTTTTTTTTTTTGTTTGTTCATAGGATTTGGTTTGAGTTTCTCTTGTTACCTTTTCTACTGCAGTGCAATCCATTTATCCTGAGAAACTGGCTGATAAGTAACTAAATGAATGATGTAAAACCAGAGAAGGCCAAAAGGACTAAAAGATAGGATGTATTAAAGAATCTTGAATCCGTCTTTTCAGCCTGCAGAAATCTAATTCAACATTATTTCATTCAAACGCTTGATTGAGAAACTGGAAGCCTCGTGTAAGGGGGGGAAGGGAAGAAAGTTGCAGGAAAAGAAGTTGAGTGAGATTAAAATCTGAGTAGTTCACTAAACACACATTTCCACTTGCTTTCATTTGCTCATTTTTATTTCTCTGAGACATATCCCATTAACAAATCACTTATTCTTGGCAGTTGATACTGATAAACGGCATGGTAAAGATTTTGCCCTGTGGAAGGCTGCCAAACCTGAAGAGTTATCTTGGACTTCTCCCTGGGGAAAAGGAAGACCTGGATGGCACATTGAGTGTTCCACAATATCAAGGTCATATTTCTTGGATTGTAAATCTAGTGCTGGTTTTTGTTGTCAGTCACAGTACAATGGTAGCAGCAGTACTGAAACTGTTTTTTTGTTTTTTTTTTTTTTTTTCTGAGCAGTAGAAAGCACCAGTTTTAGTGTGAATATGTTGTGCAATTAGGGATGTCACGTGTGGCCCAAACAAGCTCTGCTCTACCTTGGTGGCATAGCTGTCTTGCTGCGTTTTGGCACCTTCTTTTGAGACAGACTTGGGCATTTAAAATTTGCCTTGCAGGATCACACAGTTGATTATCAAGTCTTTTAACTTGAACCGAGTAACCAAAGTTTTAGTGAAAGTTATGGTACCTCTTTCATTTTCCTCCTTTCCATTTCTTGCAGTCTCCATCAGATCTAGTTCAGCATGTAGTGCTGTGTCAGGACAGGGTGCTGGATTCCATCCCAACTCCAGCAAGCGCATGAGATCTTGCTGGCCTTGTCGTAACCGCAGTTGTGGAAGTTCATGCTAATCATCTAAGCATTATTCAGCTTTCTTTAAAAGTCAGCCACAATATTAAATATTCTGATTTCTCTGTGGCAGCATATTCTGTGGGCATGACACGAATTGTATGTAGTAGTGTTTTGCTTGTAGTGGTTTTAATTAATTTGCTCTTAATTTGGAGTTTCATTTTCTCCACAGGATGGTAGTACTTTGTCCTGCACTGTATTAACTTATGACCTGTTATTTGTATTTTTTAAAAAAGAGACTTTAAATCTTCTTTCCTGGAAAATTGATAGTGGTACTTAGTTTTGCATTAGTCTCAGATCTGTTTATGGAAGCTAATAACAAATTATTTAGGTCTGCCCTTGTTTAAGTTTGCAACCCAAGCTGAAAGTAGATGGAACGGGTGCTTTAGGTTTCTCTTTCATATGCTTTGCTGGTGCACCTGGGCTTGTTAGTCACTGCTACCTGGTTGTGAGAAGCATGATTTTCTGTCTATAAATAGTTTCAGCACTGTGAAACAGTTCTTAAATCAACTGAAGTGTACAGAAACATGCTGTGTTTGAAGTGCAACCTGTGAGAGAAGTGCATAGGTAAGAAACGCCTATTACAAAATGGCCTATCCGTTAATGCAGTGCTGTTTATAGTCTGCATTTCTTTCTGTAAGAACTTACTTCACTGGGGCTGGATGAAGCTCCTGCTGTGTAAATAAGAGTTGACCCATGCAGAACATTAGTGTAGTAATCTTGGACTGTGAAAAATGGAGAGCTTATTTTGTTAAGTTACCTAAAACATTTTGCTGTCCTAGTCAGCTGTCCAAGGCCCGTTTCAAGCAATACCTACTTGCCTGTCTGTTTCAGCAAAGATCTCAAAGCACTTTAAGCTAGGTGAAATAATTTTGAAAAGTCTTTGAATGGTACTTGGAGGGAAGGTGAATGAGCACAGTGCTGGTCTCTAATGCAGCCCTAGCAGAGGGAACCACCTGCCTGTGACTTAGGTCTGGTCTCCTCTGGAGTTCCTGGCGAGATGGGCTGCTCTTCCTGCCCCTGAGCATTTTGCAGATCCATCTCTCCCCAGCTCTCACTGGTTCTGTTGGAAGAAAAGGCAAGTGTTTGGTGCTCCTTTGTAGATGACAGAAGGGAAGGTATGAGCTGGGCCCTCTCCTGGGAAGATCTGTGCTTAAGCTGGTTTTGGAGCAGGGAGGAGGAAGCAGAGGGGCATGAGCTCAGGAAGTGGAAACAGCCGGTCTTTCTTCCCTCCTCTCTTCTCCTCGTTTTCTTTTTTTTTTTCCTATGCCACAGCAGCTTCTGCAGAGCCATCGTGAACCAGGGTATTAACAAGGTGTCTTGTCCCAAAAAGAGACAAAAATATTAATATCTAGCCAGCTACCAGGAGCAACTTGTTAACGTGACATATGGGAAGACTGTGTGTGTCTGTGTGTACATGCAGGTGCATGCTTGTGTGTGGCTTGCCTTTTATTTTCTACTTGTGTAGACCTAGCTTGAGTGTCTCTGGTTTCTGGGCAGTTAGTGCTGATTTGGCTCCCTGTGAGTAGGTAAGTGTTGTATTTGTTTAGCAGATGGGCAAAATTAATTTATTAACTTGCCCAGCGTGACCTAGCAGAGAGACTTGCTGGAGCAGTGGGCAGAGTGTAGCAGCCTTGACTCCTTGTGTTTCACCAGAAAGCATCTAGGTCTGTCCTACTGCCAGCATGAATACCTTTCTTCCAGCCACCAGTATTTGCAGAGGCCTGTGCCATGCAAGTCCACGGGTGACCTGTGCTGCTGAAGCAGCACTGTTGGGATAAGAGGGATGGCCTAGGATGATCAGAGGCACTGACACTTTCTTTGACATTATAACAACATAGAACTAAGCATTTTCTATCATGACTGTGTATGGTATTGGCCTTAGTTCTTACAGAAAAGGTACAAGATAAAGAATAGTAATACCAAATTTACAGAAATGTCCATCGCTTGGAAGTTGTTAGGTTTGTAGATGACGGTAGCTGATACTGAAACCAGAACAAGGAAAGGAGGTGTCCTGCTTGCCATTCTTTAATCTAAGTTAGAAAACTAATTGCTCCTACTAAAGAGAATTCATTGCAGGTAGGTATGGATCCTGTTCATAGAAGTTCTGCTGCAGTTTTCGTATCCAAGATCTGTGTAAAATCTTGTTTTAATACTGCGGTCATTAAATTGTACATGTAAATTTATGTTGTTTCATCTTACTGTTTTCTGCATTTCTTTTTACAAAAAGCTTTCGTAGTGTTCTGCTTACTGATCAGGAAAATATTGTTACAGTGCAGTGTTTGGAAAGCAGCTGGACATCCATACGGGTGGAATAGATCTTGCATTTCCTCATCACGAAAACGAAATTGCACAGTGCGAGGTGTATCATCAGTGTGAGCAATGGGGGAATTACTTTCTGCATTCTGGTAAGTAAAGTATTAAGCACCTGAGAGGCCTGTACAAATATAATGGCTTGGTTTTTTAGGTTTGGCATTTATATGGTATGAAAACAGATGCATTTTCTCCAGTGACCAAGCTCCTGTCCTCACGAAGTGAAGAAACATAAATGAATGAATCTTGAAACTGTAGGATTAATGTCTTTAGTAATAAAGCAGTTACAGTGAAATACTCCTGAATTTCATCTGAGGAAAACTCCAAATAATAACAGTATATGCATTGCCCATATACAGTGCTTACTCCTAGTTAAAAATGTGGAAAGAAGTTTTTCCTGTAAGTCTCATTCCCTTTTATTTGAGTTTCCTCAAAATTTGAGGTTACTCTTTGTGATAGGCTTTCTTTTTCAATTGTATTTTGTCTGTAACAGTCATGCAGGAAAAGTGTGAAAATAGTTGATGGTTTTTGTATATTTTTTTATGTAGTCCTCCTAAACCCAGAAATTCCTGCTGTCTTAGAACCAGAACCCACAGTATCTGAAGGCAGGGAGTGGAGGTGGCAGGTGAACAGGCAGCTGATCGTAACGTTTTAAAAACATTGAGGACTGCATAAACTAGTCTTGTTCTCCAACATCTCTCAGCACCAGTTGCTTGTGGGATTAAAAATAAATTTTCATTAGCATGCAGAATAAAGTAGCATGTGCTTGTATATATGGTGAAAGGCTTTTTAATCATAATTTTAAAAAATGACATCTGTACTACTGCAAAATAAAAATGGAGAGAATCCTAAAATACATGACCTGATGAATCAACAAAGATCACAAAGATGTGATCCTGCAGATAAATATCTGAGCTGGGATGTTTTGTATGGTTTGAAACGTGGGGAAAGCCTTACAGGCAGACACTGCTGCAGCAACCAACCACTGGATGTTCTGGCTGTGCAATTCCTATATCTGTAACTATTTAAATTCTCCTGAGAAGCTGTTTTTTATCCACCAGTCGCACTACATCTAGTGATGGGTATGAGAAACAAGGTTCATGCTGAAGACCAAGTGAGTCAGATGCTTTGGTCTACTCTGGTCAGGAGTGGCCAGTGGGGTTGCTGGTGGGTAGAGACAAGGAAGCCTGTGACATCTATGGGCTACATAAAGGGTGAGTGCCTTGGTCTTTGGCTCTGTAGAAAAGTGGAGACATGGAGTCTCATCACTGTGGCCCCTTAACCTTCTGTAGTGCTCTGACCAACTTCAGCAGCTCTCTGCTTTCCTAGGGAGCGTGAGTGCCTTGGTATTGGTGTAGCCCATAGATGTCACGGACTTCTCTTCCCCCAGAAGCGACCTTGCTGGCTATGCCTGACTAAACACTGCGAAAAATCTTTTACTTGCTTGGTCTTCAGCATGTGATACTGCCTGGCATTATGTAGAACTGCTCCTTGCTGCCTTTGCACAGCAGTGCTTCAGTGAAGTTTGTGCTGTTCAGCGCTTTGAACTACATCTTTGTCTGATGGGACTAGCACTGCTTCTGTTGATGGAAACCTTGAAATTTGTTCTTCCTGTGGCAGTCATGGTGGTTCTGGGTGGTCAGCTGAAGTCAACAGACAGTCAGGTTCAAGCCTGCAGTCTTCCTTTTTGCTGAACAGTACTTTGTGCAAGATGTCTCTGAACTCTTTGATCTGCTTCGCTGAGTATGAGAGTTGCAGAGTTAAGCCTGTGGTACACTCTGGGAATTACTTGGGCTTTCTTTATATATATTTGTACTGTATGGGATGAATATTGAATTCTTGTTTCAGTTCCCAGTGTAGAGCCTGTTGTAAATCAATAGCAGTTGTCCAGAGGCTGGTGCATCCTCCAGGGTGTGCTTTGCCTCTGCAGTGCTGGGGAATTTTCTGTACTTCCACAGATGCACTGGTTACTGCCTGGTGGAGCCTTCTGTTGAAAACCAGTGAACCTGACTTTTTAAGCTTTGAATTGAAACTATAGGGAAAATATTTTTTGAAACTAACTAAATAAATAGGAGTCATTTTTTCTTAAAAAAAACGACGACAAAAAAAAAAAACCCACATCTTAATTCCAAGGGCAATTTGTACACTGAAGTTCTCTAGGACCTGACAGATTACACTCATTAAGTCAGAAGATTTTGCTGGAGGATGATAGTGTGAATTATTTAGGGCAAATGAATCAGCTTCAGAAACAATTTATTCTGGTAACAGACTTCAGAATTTTAGCAGGCTTGGAATTGGAGGAGCAATCCCCATTAGAGGAAGAAAATCCCTGCACTGGGGATAAATCTTCTTATAAGGACTTTATTTTTAGACTACTTGTACTCTGGGAAGAGTGCCAAGCCAAAGTTATGAAAAACCTTGTACTTTGTGATTCTTTAATGAAATCATTCTAAGTGCTGAAACTCTTGAAGGGGAATATTATTTCAAATTCAGATGTTACCTGTACCTTATTAGGAAAACACATTCAAACCATTCTAAACTTCACTGCCTAAAGTTGAGTAAGTCAATGTTTAGGCACCTTTGCGAAATAAAAAAAGAAAAAAAATCGTACCCAGGCCCTTCTCCTCTCCCAGCAGAAGTTTGTCTGTGGGGTTTCACTTGAGTGGCAAGAGCTGCGGGTGTCCCGTGCCTCTGACAGCCTGAATGTTCTTATTGAAGGCCCCGAGTTTAACCAATGCTGTGGTGAAAATGGCCTTGCTTGCTAGCAGTCAGGACAAATATGATGAAAATGAGGTTTTGGTTTGATTGTAGATTTCTGCTGTAGCTGGTTCTCTGTCCATAGATCTCTTGATTCTTTCCTACTGTCCACAGAGTTTGTTGTGCAAACTTAAATTTCCAGGTGGCCGGGGTAGGACCGGAGGTAGCCTTTTTCATGAAGGATCCCTGCTGCTCTGAATCATTGTCAGAAATAGCAAAGAAGTGAAACCAGATGCTTTTCACATCCATTTACCAGGCCTGAGCATGTTGCTTTTGTATCCAGACAAGTGTAATGGGGATTTTATCCGCTTGTGAAGGAGAGGGGGTTCCAGGCAAGGCTGCGAAAGCAGTGCTACGCGGAGGGTAGCACAAAATTCAGACAGCTGCTTCGGCTGCAGAGCAAGAAATGCCACCTCTTCCACCACCTGTAAAAGCAGAAGCACGATCGTATGTTGTCCGTGCAGAGCACCCCGAGGCACTGGCAGCACTGGACTGCCAAATCTGAAAGAATGAAGAACTCTGATGTGGTATTAAAGAGTAGGAAAAGTTCGTGCTTAAAAATCTGCCTCTAAATACGATTAAGTGCTGGATTCTGCACGTCATGGAGTGGCTGAAAATGGTGTGTTAGTTGTGGGTACTCAGTGATTTACAGGATTATTCTTTTATTAGGAGAAGCCAATTAAGACTTTTAACAACGTTTCTGAAATGATGCCGAGTAGTCTTTTATTGGCTACGTGTTCGGCACCTCTCCAGTGCTGTGAATAATTGATGTTTTCCATCAGCAGTGCTGTGGCTAGCACAGATGAGGCCCGGGAGCATATAGCCAGAGGTTGTTCATCTCCTGTCTTGCTTCAACAGAACCTTCAGTCCTGAAGCCAAGCTCTACACCCTCTCCCAAATGCAATGGAGGTAGCTACTGCCTTTTTCCTGTACCACAACCCTGCAAAACAATGGTCCATGCAGCTATTTAAAGCTCTAGAAATGCTCAGGGATTGCATTTTTAGAATAAGCTGTTTCAAATTGGGAATCATAGCTACATCCCTCCCCCACCCTTCTTTTTCCTCTGTCTCCCAAAGCCTGGAGAAATAGGGAATGTACAAAAAATTCATTTTACATGTAAGATATTTTGAGCCAGCAAAATAAACTTTTGGATTAAAATTAGTGTGACAGCCACCAGCAAGTAATAAGTACAGAAAATTGTTTGCTCTCACATTATAATAGTCTGTAAACTCACTGAAAAGTCTTTAAAGGTCTTAAAATGTTTCTGAAAAGTCAAGAGTAACAGGTAAGGTACATTTCTGTGAAGACTGAAAAGTATTTGCTTGCTTGTTTTTGTCAGTTTATTACCAATTTGGAGCAGGGAGACTCTGGTTTTTTTTCTTATTAATGTGTCTGCCCATGCTAGTGGTGTTTTGTTCTTAAAAAAAAAAAATAAAATTCTTTTCCTCTGTTTTAAAGTTGAGTATGGAGAGGTGTGCAGGACTATAGGCAAAGCTATTAAAAATATGTTACATGTTACATTGAAATGATTGGCACATACCCATCACAGCACGTGCTGCCTCCAGTGTTACCAGTGTCTCAGTGCAGTCTTTCTCATTCACTCCCCATTCAGAAGCATGCTCATTTATCCTGATTATATTTTTTTTTTCTTCTAGGGCATTTGCGTGTTAAAGGAAGTCAAGAAAAAATGTCCAAGTCATTAAAAAACTACATAACAATTAAGGTAATCTGTTTTTGTGATTGAAGCAATGTATGTTTGTAATATGTAAATGCTGATCACGGCCCTTCTTGAGAAAAACTTGGAGTGTGTGCTTGTACTGCAGCAAAAGGCCTGAAGCGGAGTGTTTCTCTAGAGCTGGTGTACCTCTTATTGTCAATCTGGATGTAGAGTTTGCTTGTAACGCTCTCGCTCAGGGCTGGCTTATAACGTGGATCTCGCTCTGCTGAGAGCATTTGTAGGAGCAGCATTTGTGCCCGATACCAGACTTCTGCATTATAGGTTTACAGTTGGATTCGACAGTCTCAAGGGTCTTTCCCAATCTAAATGATTCTGTTCTATAGTGATGGGTTCTTGCCTGTCTGCTTTTAATAGTGCATATGCTTTTGGGACTCTGAAAAGAGCGGATGTTTTAGCTTGTTGTGCACTGGGTGAAATGGGACATAGTGTCAGCATTTTGTCAGGGAGCTGCACTATGCCAGCGGTCTCTCTTATTCACCTTTTATTTTTATATGGTGACCTTGCTGATATGTGAAGAGCGTTGTCTTTTGGTACCCACAAGCCACGTGAATATGTCCTGTTTTACCATGTCTCAAAGTCTTGGGTGTAGCCCGGAGCAGGGCTTCTCTGCCAGGCACGTGGGATACAGCTGTGCTTGGCACTAGGGTGGCTCCCATGGTGGCTGACACCTATTTCTAGAAGTGGGTGACTTCCTTCCTTCAGACAACACTTGAGAAGCTGTTTCAGCACATATGTTCCCCTTTGCCCTCTCAGAAGACTTAATTAAAATCCCTTTAAAAAGGAGTTCAGTATGAGCAGCTTTATTCTTAATTCTCCCGATGCTGTCTGGGTACAGTTAAGCCCTGTCTACCCCAGGAAAATTACCTGTCTCGCAATTTTCACAGAAACTTCCCAAGTCTCAGCAGACGTAGACAGGGTAGAGAAATAACCACAAATGCAACGCATGCAGTTAAAAATAATGTCTAAAAATGTTCCCTTCCGCATCTTCAGTGAGACTTCTTTGTGTTGAGAAAACAAAAACTTCGGGGCCTGTCCCTCTTCCCTTGTAGGTCCACGCTTTTAATTTCTGCCCTTAGACACGGGTAACGGGTACTAATCCTTCCCTGTAAGCGATTTTCAGTCCAGTGAGAGGAAATTCTTCCCATACAGCCTTCTGTGTAGGGCTTAACTTTCAAAATGCAGGAAGTTTTTAACCCGCTCTGAAACAGGGGAGGGGAGGCCCGTCCGGCACCTTCCCTTGGTCCTGCCAGTGGCCGTCTGCATCCCAGGCCGTCACCCGGGCACGGCCGCCCCGCGTCCTCGCATCCAGCTGCCCTGCTTTCCCTCCCCCTTGTCCCCTTCTCTTTTTTATTTTTCTTTTTTTTCTTTAAAAATATCTATTAATTCTGATCCCCAAAATCAAGCACATTGTGATAAAGTATGGCTGAGCATCCTGTTTTGAAAAAGCTGTGATATTTTCTCAGTACTTTGTTTTTAACAAAATGCAGAATTGTTTTTTCTGGTTTGGATGGTTCTTTCCCAAATTTGGATTTATTTACATACTTTGCTCATATCATTCTACCTCTGTATATTGGTGTAAAGCTTCTGGGCACACTGGGTACACTCTGGTGTATAGAGTTTATTTACAACAAAACAAAACAAAAACAAAGAAACAAACAAAAAAACAAAACAAAAAAAACCCCCACAAAACTGAAAAGCCCAAAAACAACAACAAAAAAACCTTCCACCCACCAAAACAAACAATATCACCGTCTATTTCTTGATTTAGCTTGCCCTGATTGCCTCTATTTCTAATTTCACTTGAGAGGAAAAACACTGCTGACACTTTGCTACCTTCAGTGTTCAGTCTGGTGTAATCTGGTAGCAGAAACTAAATTTCAAAATGTGCATCTTTAAGCAAGTGAGACTTTCCATATTTTCTCACATGTAGTGACTTCTCATTAGGTTTTTCTATTGCAGTGGCACTTCAGTGTTACAATTGCCAATTTGCAAAAAAAAAAAAAAAAAAAAGGCAGGAATGCAGTGTTCACAGTTAATCTGCCATGATGTCCAGCCTTGGTGGGAGCAGTTAGAAGTCATTGAATCAGTGTACCTTCCAAGCATTTAAATAGTTCATTATACTATTAGTATGAAGTAATTACACCAGTAGTAATAGTAATAATTTACTATTTACTGTAATAAATTATTTGTAAATCTAGATAAATATCAGGGTGAAATTAATGAGATTTCATAATTAACACTGATAAATTCTAGGATTATTAAAAAAGGAAAAAAAAAAAGGTTTTTTTCACTCCCTGTTTTTCTTCATATTTTAGTCCTGCAGAAAAAGTACACTTATTTTCTTTTTCAGGAAGCCTTTCTTTTTTTTTTCATAAAGTTTGCAAAACTTGGGAGCTGTCCTTTCCTGTAAGATTGTATCCCAGTCTGTCTGGTAATTTCAGTTTGTTTTTTTGGAAAGGTCTTTATACAGTGCATGTTTAGCCATAATTACAAAGTACTTTTCCCTGTCTTATGTTTGACATTGGTGTGTATATTTGTATCTTGTACATATGTATGCACATCTATCTTATATAGAATTAGATTTTTATTTAGTTTTGACTTTAAATCAGTGCTATGATTTAAAGCTTTATGCCTATCTTAAACTACAAAGATGGGTTACTCGTCGTGTTAGTGTCTGAAATATGCTGTGAAACTACTGTAAGGGGCTGGAACAGCTCCTGAAGAAATTTTTTGCTATGATGCTAAAGCTGTCTTTTTGTGGGGGGAGTTTAGGATTTCCTGGAGAAATTTTCATCGGATCAATTCAGGATGTTTTGTTTGCGCAGCAGATACAGCTCAGGTAAGGGGAAAAAAAAACCCTTTTTTTGTTGAGAAGTGCGTGCCATTCCCCACACGCTTGCCGGGCTGGCGGTGTGGGGTGCGAGGGCAGAGCAGGCTCTCCCCACGGTGCCTCGCCGTTCCCCTCCGGCAGGTGGGAAGGTTGGTGGTGCTCTGCGGGGCGGCTCTGTGGCTCTCGCTTAGAAACGCATCTTTACTGAGCACAGGACGTAACCATTTGTCTAAATACCTTCCTGAGCTGCAGTTAATTGTGACTCTCAATTAATTGCGCTTTCAATTAATGAATTACCTCCATCTCTGATGTGCATCTGTTGCAGTCACTTGTATTTCAGTCACGATCAGCTGTTTTTGGAGACGTATCTAGGCAGAGCTTTGCCTTATTCCCTTAGGGTATTGACAGGGGCTTGCTAATAACTTTTTATCTCCCTGCTGTGTTACCATTTTTTGTCCCATGGAGTTACTGAGTGTTCAAGCAGTTCTGTGGTGCATTGCAGCTCGCTTACACCGGCACCTGATAACTTAATGATCATCATAGCCTGGCAAACTGGTCGTGGGGAGAGGTGTGAGAGATGTTCTTGTCAGCTTCCCTGTTGTGGTTTAACCCCAGCCAACTAAGCACCACGCAGCTGCTTGTGCACTTGTTCCCCCTCCCAGTGGGATGGGCAGGAGAATTGGAAAAAAAGTAAAACTCGTGGGTTGAGATAAGAAAAGTTTAATTAAAATAAAATATAATAGTAACAAAATATAATAATAACAACAATAATACTGATGAAAAGGAAGATAACAAAGAGAGAGAAAAATAAAACCCAAGAAAGACAAGCGATGCACAGTGCAGTTGCTCACTACCTGCTGACCGATGCCTGAGCAGCGATCTGTCCCTCCCAGCCAACTCCCCCCAGTTTATACACTGTGCATGACATCCTATGGTATGGAATATCCCTTTGGCTAGTTTGGGTCAGCTGTCCTGGCCGTGCTCCCTCCCAGCTCCTTGTGCACCTCCTCACTGGCAGAGCACGGGAAACTGAAAAAATTGTTAATTTAGGTTAAGCACTACTTAGCAACAACTAAAACCTCAGGGTGTTGCCAACATTATTCTGACACTGAATCCAAAACACAGCACTGTACCAGCTACTAGGACAAAAATTAACTCTATCCCAGCTGGAACCAGGATACCTGTCTACACTGTGCTGTTTCCAGCAGGTAGGTGCTACTTTGAACTGGAAGAGGTTTTCCTATGGATAGCGTTTTTACCAGTTTATTGGGCCTGCCAAAAGCAAATGGTGGTTCCCTAACCACCGCTGGGTAATCTGGCCTGTTGGCTGTCCTGGCATGGTAAGGGGACAGTGGTGCATGGGACAACACCCGTTGTGTTATTTCGGTGGGCCTCTTGCTGCCTCAGATAAAGTACCTCTGTCGGTGTGACTGGGAGAGCCGGCATGGTTAAGGATGCCATTTGACTTCCCTAGTGCCCACCAGCATGCAGTCACTGGACTGAGAAGTCTTTTTTGCTTATTAATACCTTGAGCTGTTTGCAGGAGCCACCCATCTGATCTTTCTGGTGGAGCTTCCCTCTCCTAAGGCAGCTGAAGGCATCGGGAATGCTGTGTATCCCTGAAATATTCCAAAGCGTGGGATAGTAAAGAGACCCCTGGTTATCAACTGCCGACCTCCACCGTGGTAGGAAGGGCGGAATGGATCCAGGTGGGAGGCTTGCTGCAGAGCAAGCCCCGGTTTGGAACCGAAGAGATGGGCAGGCAGTAGGGAGCACCACCACCCTGGGGTGAGGCGCTGGGATGGGGACATGCCTGGCTGTTTCAGGCTGGTGCCACAGGACAGTGGCACACCTGGCTGTTTCCTCTGGGTCTCTGTCAGGGGATGAAATAAGTTGTGCACGCATAAGTGGCTCCCCAGCTGCAGCTCGGGGCACTTGAGGGTCTTGAATAAATGTGTGTTTAAAACAAAAGAAGATAAAAGGCTGACACCTACAACACTATCATATATATGTTTGTCCTGTAAACAAAAGCCAAATGGCTGACAATTTCTAAGCTCCCCTCAGGGTGAGGAATGGAGCCCTGCAGCAGAGGACTGCCTCCTGCCTTCTCAGCTGCACGCCAGCTGGCTGCATGTGAACCTTTGCAAGGAGGACGTGACCCTTTTTGCCTTACTTCTAGGTTAAATGGCTACCTGTGCAAACATAGGTGACTGATGAAAGGATGCGATGGTGTTATGTCATAGTATAGTGCCAGTCAGCAGGGAAGGATTGCTTGAAGGTCTATGGTGCTTGCCACCTCCTCCTCATGGGGCAGGGTGTGGTGGTTCCCTGCCCTGTGAAAAGCCAGAGTCAGTCCCTGCTGAGCCAGGTATTTACTGTGCAGCCTGTCAGTTTGTCTCCCTTCTTTTAATTTGCTTTGGTCTAAAGATAAGTTTACTGCACTCTTTCTCGTCTTGCTGTCTGCTTCCTAAGTATTTTTATTAGAAGTGAGATCCCAAGCACCTTCCACTTGTTCCTAAAAAGGTTTTCATAGCCTAAACCTGTTGATGATGGTTCCTGTCATCGCTGCCTGCGAAGGAGGGCCTTTTGTACTTGCTAAAATCCAGGTTTGGGGGATTGGGTGGTGTTACCATGCTTGTTGGATTGAGCCCGTAAAAGATCTTCATAGGCATGGGGACGAGGACAGTGCCTGGCAGTTGGGAATGGCTCATGCTTGGTGCTGTGGCTACGAGGATCTTGGGCTTGGAATGGGCCTTTTTTTGTGGTCTGGGCTACCCCCCCTGCCTGCGTGTGTGCTGACAGGCACCTGGGGACAAACGTGACTCCGAGGACTGGAGGGGCACATGCAGGTTGGTACTTGTGTTTTGTGGGTGTGGGGGCCCCTCCCGTGGTGGTCACTGTCACAGGGAGGATAAAGCTGGATGCCTTGCTCTTGGGAAAGAGGAGAAAAGTCAGAGGGAAGAGGTTTCGATGCAGGCCATCACCCTTCCATAGCATGTCTCTGCAGGGGTTCCCTCTTCTCCATGGTCCCCCTCTGCCTGCTGAGGCTGGTGGGGTGAAGCTGCTCGGGGTTGAGCTAAGCTCTGGAGGCAGTGGTGGTGATCCCGGCCTTCTGCTTTGGCTGATGCCTCTGGCTGTCCCCTTTTTGGCCTGAATCGCCACCTTTCAGCCCCCCCAGGGCTGTTGGGAAAAGGTCTTTCCTAGGCGCCACAGGCAGCAGCGTGGTGCCCCACCACCAACGTGCCTGCCAGGCTGCTTCTGGGTGCAGCTTAAAAGGAGAGGTGCCGTCTCTGAAGCCCTGTGGGACCCCGTTGTGAGGCACTGCTTTTCCTCCTGCGTCTCATCAGCAGGGGCTTTGCTTCGTGCAGTTAGGTGGAGGGGCTGTGAGCCTGCTGCAGGCAGCGGGGCTCTGTCCCCAGAACGTTCTCTCCTGGTCACCAGAAGCGCTGCGGTGGTTTTGTGAACCTGAGTGAACTGTTAACGTTTCGGTCCCTTTGGTCTTTTAATTACTTGTCCGTGCTAATGAACATATGTTTTGTAATTTGATGATGTAGCGAATGATGCCCTCGGTGGCAAAGGAGGGAAGGGGTAGGGAGTATGGTGAAAGGCTGATAAAGCCTGGCTTGCCTGTGCCATGCTGTGGGTTTGCAGTGCCTGCAGGCGGTGGTTTAGGAGAATGCTGTGAACTGGGGAAGAAGAATGGCTTTAATCAAAGCGGGTTTCATCAGGATGAACTTTCATCAAGTATTCCTCACAGAGTCCCTGTAACTAGGGTAATCAGTTGAGTAATCTTAGTGGATATGAATGATCTCTTTCAGGATCTCACTGTTTCCTGAAAGTCTGTACATAGTTGTTTTTTTTTTTTTTTTTTTTTTAAAAAAAACTCAGTAAAGCTTAATTTTAAAACCGGTGTTAATGAAGCAATGATGCAGAGTTGTAATTGCACACAAGTGGAAAATCTGACAAATACAGGTCTAGACTTATGCCTTAGTTATACTGGGGTAAATCTTATGGAAAGCCTGTTTAAACAGTTAGGCTTCTTTGGGATTTAGGCTAACAGAATCGAGATCAGGTCTCACATCTGGCTGCTTCTGCCCTCTTAAGTCTGTCCCCTTGCTCAGACTGTCTGCTCTAAAGAGTCTGTGCCTGGGCAGCATTGGGTAATTGCACAAAGCAGTCGGCTGTAACGTGTGCAGGACCAGAAGTGAGATTGCTGTGGAAACTACAGGTGATGCTCAATGCTGATGAGATTAGGAATATGCTGCAAACTGTAGTTTGGATGTACCTTGGTGCAGAGGTCAGGCATAAAACCGCAAAGCAATACTGCGCTGGCTACAAATGGCGCTTTAATTCAAATAATCAGCTCTGGTGTGACATGGGAAGGAATGTGTTTAAACTCAGGCCTGCCCTTGGTGGACACAACTTCCACCAAAGTCGGGTGAGCTGTTTTGTCTGGGGTCTGAGTGCTCCTCTACAGAAAACCGTGCATTACTGGGCAAATAAAAAAATTGCCTCTTGCTGATGGCAGCTCGCAGTAAGTGTGACAGGGAGCCAGTCCAGCGCCTGCGCTTCTGAGGGCAAAGGCAAGGTGAGAGGTGCGTGCTTCACCCCACGCCAGCAGAGGTGGGTGCTGACAGTTCCCAAAGCAGAACTGCCTGCCGAAGCTGGAGTCCTGAATGCAGCAAGGGTGTCCGTGCAGATGGGTACCGTGTCCGTGGCGGGGGCTAATGTTGTCTTTCCTGTTGGTGGAAGAGGAACACTGTAGGGTTAGGCTATAGCAGATCTCATCATAAAGCAGAGCTTTGCTTGGAATGCAATGAGTCCTTTACCTTGAAGTTTTATCTTTCCTTCCAGTGACCATAAGAGGCTTAGATATATGCGTGTAAGTTGCACGTGATGAATCCCATCTCAGACATGCCCTTAAGAATTTAAGCAATTTGTATTTTCTCCAAGAGTCACCTTCGAAAATTGATGTGGTCAGTTTAGCTTTGATAGCGTGAGGGAATTATATCTAGCGCAGAATCTAGACTGCAGAATTTTAGATCCATCTAGATTTTATGTGCTGGTGAAGCAGCCCTTTAACTATAAGTGCCTATATTCCTCACAGCGTCAGTGATGAGGGTTAGGTCTCTTTTGGAGGTCTCTAGATACAGATCCACATCTACCTAAGTTAGCGTAGGAACAAAATTAGGAGTGAAATCAAAGGAATGTATTGCCAAACTTAAATCTGGGAAGATACTTAGAAATATATGCAATCCAAAAGTTTTGGAGTAATACCTTCACAGAGAGATTGAATAACAAAAAAAAAAAAAAATTTAAAGTCGAGTAGTTACTGCTTCAGTCAGCTTCCAAACACTTTTTTGAATCACTCTAATACATCTCCAGTAGGTTATACTTTGTAGTGTGTAATGATTGTCTTTTATATTGATTTAATTCACCTAGTGTGCATGAAGAACGGAGTTTTTAATTAAATGTGCAATTAATGGTAAGAGAAGTTTGCTATGGCAAATAATAACAAACTTCTCTTGGAATGACTTTGTCTCAGAATGTTGTTCCTATGTATGACAGACTACATCCTCTCTATCATAACGCCTGGATAATTTTTTTTCTTAGCAGTAGAATTTAGTGATGAAAGCATGGATGATGCAAAACACATTCTTCACGCAATCTCCTCATTTATTAAAGATGCGAATGCTTATATAAAAGGACAGCTGGAATGTGACTCTGTTAGAGAAGACGTACTGTGGGAAAGGTAAGTGCACCTCCTGTATCTTAAAGATTGTGATTATGTGAGCAGTAGTTTGCTGACAGGCTCGGAGGACTGAGCGCTGTAGTGTTCTCAGTTCTGTTTCAAAAGCAAGATGAGAAAAAGACCGAGAATCAGCCCTCACCAAGGGCAGTTTGTGGGGTTTTTTTTCATCTTTTTGTAGCCAGCTGCTTTTCCTCGTAGTCTGCTATACTTAGTTCATGGTGTTTTTAAAATCCATGTTATTTATCATGTGCCTGTCCTAACACAGGCATCTTTGCTCCTCTTGAGTGATGTAGAAGGCAAAGCCATGACTGCAGTTGTGAGACTGCCTGGTTTGTAAGTAGAACTGTACGTTAGTGAGTGAATAAGAAAGGGGATGACAGGAAAGTAATGTGACTTGGGCACGTGAGCTTGTAATCAAGCTGGCTGGCACTGCGGCGTGCAGCAGGGAGAGAAAGGGTTACTGAGAAACTGGCCAGGGGCAGAGATGTCCCAGGGAAAGAAGAAATTATGGTGGTCGTGACCCTGACAGTGCCGAGAATCTTCTTTAGAGTCCCTTAGAGAAACCAGGAGAGAGACGTGCTGTGTGTTGGGCGCAAAGCGGAGAAGACAAAGCGCAGGGAGTGCCCCGGAGCTCGGGGCGGGAGGGGTGCTGAGCACCCTGGTGTACGTGCAGGCGGGTCCGAGGCGTGGGATCGGAGGGGAAATGGCCCGTTCTGTTGGGGAGCTTGTGGCTGCACAGACTAGGACTTGAGGGGCACTGGAGTGGGTTTACACGGAGGTGGAGTTGAATTAAACTGGTTGCGTTTTGCAAAAGCAAGTCCTTCAGCAGGAGGCTGCAGGGAGACCTGTTGGTGAGAGATAAGGCTGAGAGACGGGAGGCCTGTGGGGAAGTTGAAATGGATTGTCAGCGGAGCACCTGTGGGAGGGCATAATTTGTGTATCCGTAGATTTTAAAAACAACCCAAATGAAACAGGGCTCTTAATCAGGAAAGAGGAGAGGGGGAAGCTCGCAGGGAAGAGTGTTGGGAGGAATGAGTTAGGGCAGCAGCCATCTGGTATCTGAGGGGAGGCAGGCGTTCCAGGCAAAACCACTCAGAAACAGGCAAAACCGAGTTCAGGAGAGCCCCGGGGGCTGAGGTTCCCCAGGTAACCCTGCTGCCGGAGCTTCCTTGTGAAGCAGCACCCTCGAGGCCTGGCTTGCCTGCAGGCTGCCATTTGCCGCTGCTGTGTCCCCGGGGGACAGGGGCGATGAGTGCCGGCTGCCCGCTGGCTTTCGGCCCCGCCAGACCCTTCCATCCAGGCCAAGGCGAGCGGAGTCCCGGGGCTGGGGCTGTGGGCTCGCCCGGGGAGGGAGGAAGAGGTGCCCGCTTCCGAGCCAGATCCTGCCAGTGGGATTCCTGGCCGGCCCCGAGTCAGCTCCGGGCGCCGGAGTGGTGCGCGTGGCACGGCTTTGGAAGAGAAGCATGCTGATAGCATGAAAAATGGGCTGCTGGAAACAAAAAAAAAAAAAAAAAAAAAAAACCAAACCCCAAACAACGAAATCTTTAATGTGCTTAATATCAACCTCACTTTCCAGCTGTGTTTTAATGAGTAAGGCGAACCTTGCTCTGCCATTGCGGGTTCCTGTGATTAACCACGTCTTTATTGAATGGATGCAGCACTTTGGATTTTGGCATGCGTCAAGTTTTCCCCTCCGCAGCTGAAAGATGTATTCTCCCTGATCAGCGTAGCATCGCTCATCATAGGACAGCTAGGAAGGAAAGGACAGTGTCCTTTCGATGACTCCCTCTGGCTGAATAATTGATGAATTCAGCGTACTGCTGGCATCTTGTTTGTCTTATCTTAAACGTTACCTTTTCTTCTTGAAGGCTAGCCAACACAAAAGTAACCGTGAAGGCTGCGTTTGCAGATGACTTTGACACCTCCAGGGCTGTTGCAGCAATTATGGACCTCGTTCACCATGGCAACAGACAGCTTAAGGCTGTTACTAAGGTAACCCATTAGGATACAGAGATCAGAAAATGACAGCTGTCCACTGTCCTACTGTTTAATGCAGACAGATTAGTTTATTGTTCACGGAAGAAACCAGCAGAAACAAAGCTCCATAAATTGTTGACCTTAGTGGTGCCCATTTGTCCTGACCGTATCGCAAGAACTGTGTACAGCTATTGTCTTGTGCTTCGTGTCCAAAGGATGTTTCTTTCCTGCTGCCCTGTATTATTTATACCTAAGGTTTTTGAAGGGCCTGAAGCCGTTGCGGCATGCTGCTAGTTTCAGTGCTGGTTTTATGTTCTTACCCTGCTTCTTTGCTTAATACCCATGCACAGAAATCAACCTAAATTAGGAAATGGGCGGGGGTGGTGGTTGCTGCAGGGGCTTTGCCAGGCGGTCCCAGGTGCAGGAGGCAGTCCTGGTGGTGAGTTCAGCTTTGGGGACTGACTGGCTTCTGCCGTCGGCAAATTATAACTGTGGCCTCAGCATGTCTGCATGAGTCTGTCTTCAGATGGCTTTTGGCAAATCGAGACTCTGTTAAGGTCTCTCAGTGTTGACACAAAGGAGGCGTCTGGTATGGACAAGACGTGAGCAGTAAACACAGTCTGAAGCACTTCTGGGTCCCCTTTTGCCAACAGCTCCCTTCCTTGCTCAAGGCGAGCAGCTCAGCCGAGTTGCTGTGCTCCTTGATTGCTGGTGTCATCGCGTCCACCATGTTTGTGCTCTAAAAGAAATGTTGAGTACGTTGTAATAACTGGTTTTAAGAGAGAATTAGCCTGGTGGTTTAGAAATCCTGCCGCCTCCTGGTCCTTCTTTGGTGCTGGCTTTAAATCCTGTCCTTAGCATTATCTTTACAAAATGACTGAGTGAATCCCTGACCCAAACCAGTTTGCAGCAGGGGTCTGTACCAGCATTACCACTCCTAAAGAGAAGTAGCCTCATTTTGTCAGTCATTCCTTGTTTCCCCTGAATTCCTTTTGTCAATCTTCTTGTTGAGCATTGGGTTGGGGTATTTGCGGGGCAGCTGATTTGGGTTGCAGTGGTGGAGCTTTTCTGGGTGCAGCCCAGCTGTCTGAGCATTACCTCTTACTGACTGTGCACATAATTTTTTTTTTTTATTTATTTTTTTTTTCCCTTAAGAACTGTGAGTAAATTCACATAAATATAACTACTCATTCCTCTCTTTAACCTTCTCGCCATGCTTACCTTAGTTGGCACGTTCCTGTTTCTTTCCCTCAGCGGTCAGCTTCAGCTCCTTTCTGTTCAGATCTTTTGCAAATTTTAGGTTATGGCTTATCTCAGGCCCTAACGGAAATGTCGGATGAAAACCAGTACCAGCTGCTAATTTGTTTGTGTATGTCATCATTCTCTTTTAGTCAAGGGTTAGTCCCTTAAATTGCTTCTCAGCCTATCATTTAATCTTGATTTTAATTTATTTTTTTTCTGAACTAAATATGGAGGCAAGAAAGAAATACATGTATTCTTAAAAACACTATTCTTTTGCTGCTGCTGGTGGTTGCTGGTGCTACCGAGGCATGACAAAATGCTGTAAGCTATCTCAAAGCAGTCTTCATGTTGCTTAAATCAATAAGACACTAAAAAAGGAATGGGGTGGGGTTCTTTAATAATTTATTTTATAGGTGCCCTTGAAGCTGGGATTTTGTTCTTTTATTTTGTTTTCATACACACAGCCCTTTCATGCCCAGAAGTGCTATTTTTAGGTCTAATTTACTGTGTGTGTGTAATGCATGGCAGCTTCACACATCTCTTCTTCTCGCTGTGCATGCTGGTAATAAGCGCTTCCCCTCCCCCGTTTACTTAAATCTTTTCCCTTTGTGTTGTGAGGTGCTTTTATATCTCTGTAAAAGTTCCCATCTGGGCAGGTGTTACTGGTGGAGGTAGATCTATATAATTAGTAATAGTTTCCCATGTGGACTAGGCTACAGAGAGATGCTGAGTTCTGTAATATGTATTGACTGGACAATCTCTTTTGAGTGTTTTTTAAACAGGATGCTGGATCTCCTAGAAGCTCTGTTGTGTATGGAAGCATTATTTCCTATATAGAAGGCTTTTTTAATGCCCTTGGGATGTCCTTTGGAGAAAGGCAGGTACGAAACATCTCTTCTATGTGTACTAGTATGTAGGAGCAGCACCAGCGTTGCTTTATAGAAGGCTTTCTGAAAGCGTCAGTTAAAACAAAGTTATTTATGGTTTTAGTGTACTTTTCTGCACCGCATGGGGTTTCTGCTGTGATGTCTTCGGAGAGCATGTGAGCAGGTGGAACAAAGTGTGGGCTTTTTTCATCTTGGAGGTACTCCAGTGTGACTTCTGCCGCAATTCTGCTGTGGAAATGAAAGTCTGAGGAATGAAACAAGAAGTTAGCATTGGAGGCCTTTACGTTGGTTCTGTTAGGTGTTTGGCTTTCCCCTGGCTCTTCCTTGTCTTTCTGATGGTCGCACCCGGGCTGACTTCAGGAGCCATACGAGTGTTTGTGGTTGTGACCTCCGTGCCCAGCAGGAGCCAGGGTCCAGCTCCTCTGCAGAAGGCCGGGGTGCGGAAAAAGGGGCTGCTCTGCCCTGAGCTGCGGCAGGGTGCGGGGAGGGGGGGGGTGGCAACACTGGAAATAGCTTGTATATCCTCTGCTGCATGGAATGGGGAGGGGGAAAAAAAAAGGAGAGAAAAGCTTAAAGCAAAGTACTGCACAGGGAAGGGTGATAAATTCGGAGGACAGATCCTGATATATGGAAGGAGAGCATTTAAAATGACACGAGGTGTTGGAGACTAGCAGGCTGTTCTGTGCTCCCCTCCCGGTCGAATCTGGAGCTGAATACCAAGAAGCTGAAAACTTTGTTTAGAGAAACTGTTCTGCAAGAACTGCTTTTGGGGAGGGGGATAAGAGGGTAAGAAAATGTAAATAACCTTATTCATCCCTTGAAAGTTGGGCAGTACAGCAGTAAATGCATTTATTTACCTTGCCTCTTTGTGGATTTTCCCGCAAAATTTTTTTTTAGAGCAGCAGTTGGATGCGATTTGGCTGTGTGTTGCTCCTCATAACCTGTGGTTTGTCATGTTAATTTTTAGTGGTGTACTAAACACTTCCGTTTGTCTGTAAGTTGGATGGCAAAGTCATTCCTCCCGCTTCTGGGCTGTGCGTGTGCAGGTGCCCGCTGCGTTTCTAGTTTTTGCTGAAACAAGCGTCTGAATGCTTTATCTTCTTCTGTATGCTGTGCTGGTTTCTCTGGGGCAGCAGGGTCAGCAGAAGATGCTGGTGCGAGGTCGGCAGAAAGGAAGGAGCGGCGCGTCAGACTCCTCTCTGTCCCTCTGCTCTTTCAGCTCCCAGTAAATGAATCAATCAAAACCTTCACCAGAAAGGTCCGTGGGCTGCCGCGAGCTAGTGAATAAAGCGGTGCCGGGATTGTCCTCCGACCTCGAGACCAGCCACAACAGCTCCGTGTCCAACCTTTCTTGCCCCTTGGCCAGGTGGCCGTGGGCACGCACGGTGCTGGGAGCAGTCCCTGGCCACTGGTCCCAGCACGCGAGCCGCCCGGGCGAGGGCTGGCTGGCTCGGCCGCCGCTCTGCGTGTTAACAGATCAGTGTAGAGGCTACGGGGAGCGGGGTTTGGGCCCTCTTCATCTGGACGTTTGCATGCAGCCTGCGGGTCCGTCGTGCTCTTGGGACGGGATTCATCTCGGTTAATTAGCCTTACGGTGTAATGAGGCTTCTGCGGTAGTTGGTGGAGAGAGAGGCACCTGGAAGGGACGGTTCATCTTCTCTGGTGGTTGTACGGACTAAGGCTGCCTGCCTCTCTCTGCACTGGCAGGAGGAGGAGCCTGGGCGGCCACGGGCAGGTAAGATGAATCCGCCTGAAAAGAGGGTGGAAACGGTCATTGTGCCTTTTTTTAGAGCTGGGGAGCAAAAGTGAGCGCTTCGGCTCTGCCCAGGAGTGCTGTCTTGTGGGTGCAGCCAGGGGCAAAGAAGTGATCATCTGTGGGGTAGGCAAGGCCCAAATTTTGATGTGAAACTACTTATGAGCTCTTTTGGGTTGATTGGTGCTGCAGGAAAAGAAAGTGGAGATCAGCCCTGAGAGGCCACACGGTGTTTTATGTGGGAGTTGGGTCGGTTCATCTCCTGAAGCTGCCCCTCTTGCCTTGTGTCGTGGTGGGGTGCCTGCCTTGAACTTTCGCAGTGGTGTTTGTAGAGGCGTGTTTCTGGGTCCCCTCATCCTTTACTTTTCCTCTCCCTCCTGTATTTAAGCATTTATCCTGCTCTTTTGCCTGCCCCAGGTTACGCTGGAACATTTCTGGCACTTAGATTTATTACCTTCTTCAATCTCATAAACTTTTTCCTTAGTACGTTTACATGTTTTGAAAGTTTGGGGGGTTTGCGGTGTTTTATGATAGTGGAGAACATTGAGCATCTCACGCTTTATCTCCAATAGCTTCCCCCTCACCTCCTCCTCCTCCTCCTCTTTGTTTGCTTCAGTCAGTGACCTCTGAAACTACTCCCTTTCATTTTCATCCTGCTGTTCGGTGACTAAATACAGTCCCCTCTGGCTTTAATTACTCAGCTGCTCTTCTGCTCCCAGTCGAGCGTCGCTGCCAGCAACTTTGCCCCCCGGCCTTGGTGTGCTTTACATTTCATTTCTCCGTTGTCTGCTTCCCCCTTCTTGCGTCTCAGTGATAAAATACCGCAATGGCGTTTTCTCGTTTGTTGCCCCCCTCAGGAGTTTGTCTTTAATGAGAAACAGGGATGGCTTCTCCGCCGAGGGGAGCGGGAGCCTGGCTGTGCCAGCGCCGGGGAGCGGCCCCTTCCCTCTTCTGCTAGCACCTGAGCTCCCGGCCCGGCAGCCATCGCAGTGGGGCTTTTAAAGGGGAGCTGGGCCGTTCCCTTCCCGTGGCGTCGACCAGCAAGATTTCTGCCAGGGCAGAGGAGGCTGAGGGAGCTCGGGGGGCCGGCTGCGGGAAGGAGGGGGGCAGGCGGCGGCGGCCAGAAAACGCCCACTGTGTGCGGTGGCGGCTGCTCCGTCAGGTCGTCTTGGGTGGCTGAAACTTTGGATGAGGCGGGTCAGATAAAAGCGCTGTGGATTTGCGGAGGTTCTCTGGAGATGCAGGGAGAAAGGGCAGTCTAGAGACTAAAAGCCAAAATACTGATTTTTATTTTTTTTATTTTTTTTAACACACACCCCCCCCCCCCCCCCCCCCCCCCCCCCCCCCCCCCCCGGTTTGTGTTTCCTGAAGGAGGTCTGGAGCTCAAAGGCAGAGCAAGGGGCTGATGCGCGCGCTCGCCCTACAGATGTTTAGCGCCGAGGGGCTGTCTGAGCTGGCGGCCGGGCTCCCTTTGCTGCGTGGGATGGCTGCTGCCAGGCCTCTCCTCCATTCATTTGTCTAAGCCCTTCGGTTTGCGCACGCTGCTGGCACCTCAGAGGTTTCCTGTGGCGATGAGTTCCACAGTTGGGTTATGGAGCCTGTTCTGTTCACGTGAGGGCCCTCCGCTCCAGAACAGATGCTTTCCTGTGTAGGAATACACTGAGCTACTTCCAAGTCTGACTCCACTGTAACTTCTTGTCTAGCTTTAGTGAGATTGTGACGTTTTAATTGTAGCAATATATGAAAGATGCACAGCCAGGAGAGGTGATGAGGCCTCAGTGCGTGCTACTGAGTTGGGGTTGATTTCGACATTGCTCTCGGATGCTTGGAAAGCAGCCTGTTTGATTTCTAGGTGGCTCTGAGAGGAGACAATTCTGCTGTGCTCTCCAACGTCATTGAGGAGCTTGTAAGGTTCCGGGCGAAGGTCCGTCACTACGCGCTCGCTCTGCCGGAAGCAGCAGACGCTGTGCCCACCGAGGGGGCCGCAGGGGCCGCAGGACCGACACGAGAACAGAAGGAGAAGAGGCAGCAGTTAATGCAGGAGAGAAAACCCCTCCTGGAGGCTTGTGACAGTCTGCGGGGAGACCTCGCTGCTTTTGGAATCCACATAAAGGTAGAAGACAGTGGCCCTCTTTGAGACCGTCAGTCATTTGTTTGGTTGGGGTTTTTTGTGTTTTTTTTTTTTGTTTGTTTGTTTGTTTGTTTGTTTTTTTCTAAGGCAACACTGAATTTTGCCCTTCGTGCCCCCTCCGGCAGCTTTGGTGGTTGTGCCCTGCTCCCTGTACCACCGCAGTAGCAGGAGGTGGAAGTTTAGCCCTTGCCTGCTTGTCCTGCTAGCCACCCTCCGCTCCCCCTCAGCCTCCTGTCTCCAGGCAAGCTCCACCTACTCCTGCAGTTCCGAAGGGTGTGCTGTTTAGCCGTTGAAAATCCCCTGTTATTCAGCGATCCCAAAGTTGCCCAAGTTCAATCCAGAAGGAAAGGTATGAGTAACGCGTGCGATCTTTAAAAAGATTGCAGAGGAACTGGAAAGCAAGCCGAGATGGCTTCTGCAAGCGATGCCTTCCCTCTACCCTCTCCACCTTCCCCCACCAAAGACGGGAAGTCTTCATGAGAAAGCCTTTTCTTCTACAGCAGCTCCATTCCCAGCTGTTCCTGAGCCATAAGTAGTTTGCCTGATTCCTGTACCGCTTCTCTCTCCACCCTGCTTTCTAGTTTTAGCCTACACTTAACACCACTGTGCTTTTCCGCTACCACAACGGTGCCTCCTGCAGAGGAGAAGTCCCTTTGCTGGCTGGCTGCTCCTGGTTTTAAGGTGCTGCATTCCTACTCTAGCAGGTGCTGCTTCTTCCAGTTCCTCTTGCTTCACCGCCCTTCCCACCTCTGCTCCAGCCCTTGTAGGGTCAGCGTTGCTCCTTCTGTGCAGAATAACCCTCTACTTTCTCTCCAGTGGCGTCTTCCCTCCCTCTAGTTCATGCTGCTCATTTTTTCCCTCGCTTGGGCCCTGAGCCTGGCGTGGTCTCCTTGCGTTGTTTTACCAGTGGGAGGCTGTAAGGCGCGATGAGGTGAGGGAGGGACAGCATTCAGCCTCTTTAATTGCCGAACGTGAGAACTGCCATTTGTCAACACACCTATTAAAAGCAAATATGAAGTGTGGTCAGCTGTCTCCTGATCTCAGATGAGCCTGCTGGTACCAGCTGGGGTGAGGGCCAAAGCGCAGTAGTGATGAGCTACAGCTGTGAAAGCAAAGGAAGACTGTGGGAAGCTGGAACATCTGCTTCCTTAGCTTGTTTGTACGTAGCTAAATCCTCACTTCACCCATCGGGAAAGTTTGCAAATCCAAACAACTGCACTGAGATGGGGTCTTGGAGAAGACGACGCCTTTTTGATCTCTTTGGCAAAATGGCTGCAGCCTCGCCTCCCCCCTTTTGAAGATTTGTTTCTTTTTAAAGGGATTTACAGACATTTAGTAACCTCCTTGAAATTGGCCTTAGCCAGGATTCGTATTTATTTCTGGGCTTTGTTTTGTTTTGTTTTTTTGTTTTGTTTTGTTTTTTGTTTTTTGTTTGTTTTTTTTTTTTTAATAACCTGAAGCTTGGCATAATCCGTCTTCCTGCTTGTCCCAGAATAATTTGCTCCTAAAGATGAAGCACGCAGGCACACATGAGCACACACAGCACGCATCCTAAACCTCAACTCCTGGTTTTTCTGCTGATGCTGAGGAAGTAGCGGAAGGTGTGCTGCGAAGGTGGCCCAGGTCTTGCCTTTGCAAATCCCAGAGGAGTCCCGCAAAGGGCTCTCGCCGCCCTCCTGCCCAGCACGAGCCTGCTCGGCGGGGCTGGGTGGCTGCCCTGGGGTTGGCCCTTGCCAAAAAAGCCACACGGTAACACGGCGCCTGGCAGCTGGGTTCCGCCTGCCTGAGAAGCGCTTGCGAATGCAGTCAGAATTTCTCTTTTCTACCCAGGCTCCGATTGCCACGAAACTTTCAGCGAGCCCCACGCGACGCAGGCAGCAACGCGTCCGTTAACGCGCCCGCCCTCCGTTACGTGCGGCTGAAGTCAGCCAGCACCTTCTCCAGTCCGTGTGCAGGGAGAAAAAAAAGCAGCAGAACAGATGAAGCAGACAAGCCTGGTCAGCCAGGGTGGGCCGGGACCCCCTGGTCTGGGGCTGGGCAGGGGGGGCTTGGCCGCCCTAAGCTGCAAGTAGCATCTCTGAGGATGGTGGTAACTTAATTCCCGTAAAAATCGGCTTCGTAGGAAGGATAGTTTCTCCTTCAGCTTCTAAATTTGTGGTTTCTGTAGACTGGTTTCTTCTCTCATGCTGCTCAGCGCACACCATGTTCAGAGTGTTTGTCTGAAGTTACAGAACTTGCAACAAACTGATTAAAATATCCACCGGTGTTTCCATACAGCCGTACAGTGTGCCTGAAGGGCAGGCTGCTCAGAGCTGCTACTAAGTGAAAGGCAGTAACTGGGTATTTACACATCAAACCCAGTTTTCACTGCAATGTCAATTCTACATTCTATTCCAGCCTCTCTCACGAATCAGAGCTCATGCAACCTTGTCATGTTTCAGTATTCAGATTATCATTTTTTTTCAACAAATGCAGTCAAACGGCTCGATCTTAACAGTTAGAAATACTTGGTTTCACAGTAATACTCTTTTAGAAATATGACAGTGTTGCATTACAGATATTTACAGCACCAGGCTACTGACTTAAAATTCAGGAGATCAGCTATGGTAGGCGATACATTCTCGTGGGTTGGCCCTAAGAAGAGCTGTTTGTTTTCCATGTACACGAGCCATTTAAACATGAGAACGTGATGGGTTTAACAGAAGTTACTCACATGAGCAAGACTCCGCACCGCTGCAGCACCCCGTGCTCAAGAGGTGCCATTTCTGTGGTGGGTTGTTTTCCTCCTTATCAGGGACAAATTGTCTGCGTGTGGTTGACAGCTTTGAGTGTTACCAGGAACAGCAGCATTCCCAGGGATGGGATTGCCACGTCTTTTACCTAACTGGAGTAATAGTTTTGCTGTATGAAGCTTGTGTACAAACCCGTGCCTCCAACTATGCGCACGTGTAGGGGACCTGTGTGATCCGGGGGGCCGGGACTGACCTGCTTTGCTGCTTCTTACAGGACAGAGCTGCTGTTTCAACCTGGGAAATTGAGGAAGGAGGACCAGCAGAGCTGCAAACCGAGAAAAAAAGCTGATGCTTCCTTCTTGGACTTGCTTTTTTATTTCGGCTGCTTCGGCAACAGGTGTAAATACTAGTACTTTCCCAATAAAATCTTTGGAACAGAACGACTGAGAGAGATGTCATATAATCTGAGTAAAAGTGTTGAGGATGCTACTGAGTGAGTGCGTGCAAGGCGTGCACGCAGTGCAGGGGCTGGGCGCATCCGAGCTGTGGGGCCTCGGTATCTCCTAACGCGGGAACCGCCCCGGCCCCCGCCGCTGCCCGAGCTGCGCCCGCGCCCTGTGGTGCTGAGCTGGCACGCGGGCTGAAAGCACGGTGAAGACAGAGGCAAGAACTTAGGCCTGTCTTCAAGGATGGAAACGCTTGGTTTTACACCCCCCCGGGTGTTTAAACAACTGTGTTCTTCTCAGACGGAGGAGGAGGAGGTGTGACACCTTTAGCCTTGATGCATTTCCTTTCTGCAGTGTCACGGGTGTGACCGTCTGATTACGGTTGTCCCGTTACCTGCAAGGCTTGGGGCCTCTTCTCCGTTTGCTCTTGCACAGAACACCCTGCGCTCTCCCTCGCACGGGGGGTGCGGCATGCTCGGGCTCTCTCCATCGGAACTGGGAAGGTAAAATCGGTAAGTTTGGTTATTACCTCTCCAGTTCTCTTTTTGCTTTTGCCACGTTCGTGTTCTGCTCCCCCGGGCGCTGTGGCTGGAGGCAGATGCAGAGAGCCCTGGGGCCTTACGCCTTCCGGGGGCTGAGCTGACACCGGGGCTTGTCCCTACTGCCAGACTTTCCTTAAATCAATTTGCGAGAAGGTAATGAGAACATGGGTTCATCTACAAGGAATTTAATCTGCAAATGCAATTCACACAAGTAATCTGCTCGAAAGGGTAAAGGCTTGCTTTTCTGTTGTCGAGGAGAAGAGGTGTAGCTGGTTTTCTGCTCCCTTTCTGGTACTCCTAGAGAAGAGGGGTGGGTGTGATCGTTAGCACTTCGGCAGCTGCTTGACACCGCTGGGGTTTCACAGTTGCTAGTGGCTGTACTGCTCCCGTCAAGGAGAACGGATGGCAACCACCCAGCTTGGCTGCCGTGGGAAACGCGATCGGCAGCGCCAGACAGAGGGAGCACACACATGATTGGTTGGCTATTATTTTTATTTCCTACCAAAAGAAACTGCTACATTTCCAGAATGTTTAAAAATTGTAACAATTTGAATACATGAGTGAATAACAGAGTTACAACTTCTGTGTAGATTTAAAACCAACACGGCAGGTTGAAATCTGTACTGAGCTCTGTTAATTGATTGACTTCGCCTACAAATGCCATTTAGATTATACCACTGATGTTCTAAATACAAAAAAACCCAAACGCTCATTTCAAAGGAAATCCAGTAGCTACTTTAAAATCAGTTTTACCTTTCTGATTTTATTTAAAAGGAGTCGTGCTTTTCAAATAGTTTTAGGGGGAAAAACAACAGTAGCTTAGTTTCCCCAAAGATGTAGACAGTTTACAAAACTGCTTAAATTAAACACCCAAACCCCATCTCTTCTGAGTAGTAGATGTTGCTCTAATCTAAAAAGTCTGTGAACCCTCATAGACCAAAATGAGCAAACATTTAAAAACCTATTTTAAAAATAGGCAACTGGTTTAAAAAGAAAAAAACAAAAATGCATCGGGGTGAGGTAGTAGTCACAGTGCATCCAGAAATATCAACTCTAAGGGCTGAAGGGAGATACTCGGAGCGGCCTTTCTGCCTGCAGGTGCTCTCTGGGGGCAGCCAGCGCCAGGTACCAGAGCGCAGGCAGGTGAGGGCGCAGACCCCGTGTCCCAGGCTCGAGCTAGATGCCCAGGAAAGAGTCGCTGCAACAAACGCCCAACGCCTACTGCGGTAACTGGACACACACATCCTCCTCTGAGAGGCTTCCCCTGAACTCGCCCCCTCTCGCCATGCCGGTTCAATCCCTACGAACTCTGACTGACCTTCCAACAATTTAAGAAACGATACTGTGCAAAAATCCCACGCTACTTCCCCTTTGTACCCGAGGCTCGCCCGCCCTGCCGGCGGGCCAGCCGGGTCCGGCCCCAACAGCCCAAGCCCCCTCTGTCCTGCCAGGGATCGAGCAAAAAAAAACCCCCGAGCCCCGGCGCTGCCCTCGGAGCTCACGGCTGTCCCCTGCCCCCCCGGCAGAGGGGACGGGTACGTGCTGCTGGCTGCCCTCTGTTCCTGGAGCCGCCCGGAGCTCCAACTCGGCAGGCCGTTTGAGTTCTAAAAGCACTTAACTCCTCCGTGATCACTGGGAGTCAGGGATCGGTTCCCTTCGGGATCACTACGTTTCGTACCCTGCCTAGTACCTCTCCAAATGATAATGTCACAGCGCTCATCATATCAAGTTCTAGGTAAGTCAAGGCCAGCTAAAGGAATAGAAAATATTTTCAGGTAAGCATAATTATTGTTCAGTGCTAAGATAGCTACAGTACACTCTTACTCTGCTGATGGGGGAACCTTTTATTAAAAAAACCACCAGGACCTCGCAGGAAGGGGTGTCTCGTCAAAATGACCGCCGCCTCTGGGACTGGGAATGGGAAAAGGCAACTAATTACATTCAAAATCTACAGCAACTCTCATGCATTCCCTTTCCAAAGAGGCTTACTTTTTGCTTCTTAATATACTAGCATGGCAAAAAATGAAGTGCAATAGCTAATTCTAGACAGAGGGTCTAAGAATGAAAACATGACAACCTTGGTGCAATCCAAAAAGTTCAGTTGAGCTGGTGGAAGAATTTTATCTAAGTATCAAGTGCATTTTTATTTTTTTTTGCTGTTCACACTTTAGTTATTGCTCAATAACTATCAAAAAGAACAGAGGAATACTTTCAGTTTAGTTTTATTATATTATAACAGATCTGCAACTACAGCTTATTTCAGCCAAAACATTTTCGTATTCCAAACTCTTAAAAAATATCTACATTAATCATTTTTTTCTATTCTTAAAAATAATAAAAAAAAAAAATCTACCTAGCATACCAATGCTGCTACAGCACTTGAAAGGGTGCATTACTTATGTAAATTCTACGGTAAATGTAATTACTCTTGCAGTCATTGTTCTTCCTTTTCTTCTTCTCTGCTGCTTTGGCTTCAGGTTTCAAAGAGTTTGCTAAAAGCTGTTCCAACTTCTGAAACCATGTCAGAGGCAGTCATTGAACGTCCGAATTTTTGAAAGGCTTGGTGGTTGGACTGCCTTGTGAGTGAGCAAGCTCCAAATGCAGCCACTAGAAAGGGGTTTTGACTAAAAGGGAAAAAAAAAACAAAACAAAATCCGAAACGTTATAAACAAAATCTGAACACTTGTATCATTCATAAGGTGGTGGACATCATCTTCCTACCCATAAATGTTTGTCAGCATTGCTGGGAGGAGACATCTCTGTTTCTCAGATTCTTGCACTGCAAAACACCTTTGGCTGAATTTTTTTATCAAACCCTTCCCTTCCCACGGCACAGCCTGTGACTGACCGAGCAACACCACCAGGGCCAAAGGAAGACACGCTGAAAAGCGGGGAGGAAGGTGTTCTATGTCTAGTTTTACTGATGTGAAACACCATCCTTTTCTTCAGAGGAAGACTGAAATCTCGCCTGGCAGCCTTCCAGCTCCCCCTCCTCACCGGGTAACTCGGTGCAGCTTTGTGCTGCAGGGGGTGGGGGAAGGACGGGGCTGTGTGGGCAAGAGATGACTTTTAGCAAGAGCACAGTCGCCGCTTCGGGGCCTTCATTAGCCCGGCTGGAAAGGGGCACAATGACAGAAATGAAGGCACATCCTCTTCACGCCTCCTACACGCTTACAAACCGCCGAGGAGAGCGCACCCAGCCCCAGCCCCCCAGCGTGGAACCTCTTCCCAGGGCAGGCAGCACAGCCCTGCCACCTCCAGAGCACCTTCCCACCGGCTGGGCCAGGGAGCCGCTGCTGCCGCCTGGCAGCACCAGAGAGGAGGAAAATAACTGTGGAGTAATCCAGCAGCCAGCCCCGGGCTCCGGCTGCTGGCTGGTTGGAAACCTCACCGAGCTTGGCCACGGCTGGGACGTGGCTGCCTGCAAGTCCCTAAGGACCTACTGACTGCTGTGCCAATTAAGTTTTGTGAAGGATCATTGTCCTGGGTTGAGTGAGTGGTGGAGTTTCTTGGTGGCAGGGGAGGGGGCTATCGGGGCGGCCCCCTGTGAGAAGCTTCTCGAAGCTCCCCCAGCTCCAAGCCAGCTCCACTTCTGTTTGGGAAATTGAGCCAATCGGCTGCACCTCTGCGATAACGTATTTAAGAAGGGACGTGGTGACGTGCAGGGGGACTTGTGAGGAGGAGTTGCTGCAGCTGCATGAACACCAAGGTCAGTGGGGGAACGGAGGAAGAAAGGAGGGGGGAGGTGTGCTGGAGCAGAGACCCCCCTGTATCCTGTGGGGAGACGGCAGGGCGGCCCCCCCTGCCACCCATGGAGATCTACGGTGGAGCAGACATTGATTTATGGCCTGTGGCTCCTGCTCGGAATAATCAAGGTTCTGTGCTCGAAGAAGGCCGGGGTCTCATGGGAAAAGGCAGCCCCGCTGCTGTAATTCAGTGCTGGGAGGATTGCAGCATGCGGGGGAGTCCCACGCCAGAGCAGCTCGGGAAGGGCTGCAGCCGTGGGAGGGAATCCAGTCGGAGGAAGTTAGTGACCCACGACGGAGCAGTGTGGGGAACGCTGCGGCCTGTGGGAGGGACTCATGTTGGAGAGAGTTTGTGGAGGACAGTCTTCTGTGAGAGGGGGACCACGATGGAGCAGGGGGTAACAAGTTTCGGACACTCCCCTCACCGAAGATGAAGGAAGTGGCAGCACTGACTGCACCCCCCATTCCCTGCCCCTGTGCCCCTGGGGGAGGAGGTAGAGATATCGGGAGCAGAGCTGAGCCCGGGAAGAAGGGAGGGGTGGGGGGAAGGTGTTCTCAAGATGTGGCAATGCTTCTCACTGTCCTACTCTGTTATGTGTTGTTAGTGTATGTAATAAATGTATGTTCTTTTTTTACTTCCCCTAACGAGTCTGCCTTTTGCTCATGATCATAAAGGGGGATTTTTCCCCATCCCAGTCCTACCTTGAACCCCGAGCCTGGCTCTCTGTCCCTTCTCATTGCCAGAGGGGAAGGGAGAGAGAGCTGCTGCGTTGGGGTTGGCTGCCAACCAGGCCTAAACCACGACAATCATGATAGAAAACACAGGCAAAGCAGAAGGTGAGTTTACAAATAGGTGCTACCAAGGCAGCTCTGAGTATCTTTTTCTTGACACACTCACCAAGGTGCAGGAGTGAGTATTTAAGCCATCCTGAGAGGCAATCCCGGATGCTCAGCTACTACTCTGAAACAAGAGCTGTGCACAGGCTTCTGGGCTCAAGGCAGCCAAAGCACCTATTTCTAAGGCAGCCGCGTAACCAGGCGGATACACACCGTACTCCAAAGACATCACCTCAGCACCCCGTCTACTTCACAGGGGAGTCCCACCCACTACAGCCTCAGCACCCCCGAAAACCAGTGCGCTCTTAAGGTTTCAAAACTCCGCTCTGCACAGACCCATTTTGGAAGAACAGAGCCAGGCGCAAGCGCGAAGGACTGGCGGGGGCTGCCTGCACTGCAGTCTGCAAGCTGATGCCCCGATTCACTGAACCCAAAAAAGCTCCTCCCTTCCCAAAACACACGAGAGAAACAGGATTGGTAGAGCAGGTGTCTGAGCAGGGTCACCTTACCACCACCCCAGGAGACACAAATGCATTGCTGATGCCAAATACGCTCTCCCACTTTTCCTTCATCTATAAAATAAAGGAGTTTCTGAGCGAGTTGTTTGGAAAAGCCCCAGGACCCCCGGACAGGAGAGCCTGGGGAACATGTGCCGCGTCTGCTGATCTCTCCAACCATTTACTACTGGTCTGTCACGCACTGTGCAAAAATGAAGTCACCCTTTTAATGAAGTAAACCAAAATTCCTCCTTTAGCGGCAGCTGCAACTTCAGATGCACAAACCACCTTGGTGTCACCTGTCGTTCTGGGTACGCTAGTTAGATTTCAGAATTTTAAAGACCGGTCAACTGGTCCCTCATTCCTGCTGGGGGACCTAGTGCAGTGCTCTCACAGCGACACCAGCCCAGACCAGTTAACTCCCCCGGACACCTGACTGTGCATCCGCACGCAGCATCCGAAAGACTACAACAGATCTCCACTCCTCAAGCTTCAAGAGCTCGACACTTAGGGGGAAGAGGGACAGCTCTTCCCTAACTGCCTGTGTCAGGGTTCCTTTCAACTTTGTTTAAAGCACCTACTTCCACAGAAAGACTCCATGACTGTGTGGACCAACTAGGCAGGCAGGAGTTGTCACAGTTTAACAAAAGAGCCAACAGCCAGCTGCACGGCTGCTGTATGTACGACCAAACCGCACTGCCATTTGCCTTGAAATGGTTACCCTCTTTGAAATTGTATTATGTTTGCAAGTTTCAACTTACCTGCCCCACAGAATCTCTTGGAGGATTCACCGAATTACAAAAGCAAAGCTAAAGGTCATGTTTTTTGAATTACAGAGATGTTACTGCCAGTGTCTACCACTTACTTATTTTTCATACTTTCTGCCCACATTCAACTGTTTTGAAAACACATACTTCATACATGTATGTCCTTGGCAATCGATCCAGTTTCACACTCTTCTTCTGCCTCAAAACTTGGGAGATGTTACATTATTGAAGACTTTGTCTTCTTAAAATTGTAACTATTATGCAGGCTGCTCTAGACCACCCTTACATTCTTTAAAAGTACATGAATACCTTAGCCCCAACGATTCCAGTTTCTTTTGGAAATTTCTAAAGCAGGTCTACAACAGTTACCATAGGAGAACACAGAGTCACTAGAATTAAGTAGTTATTAATTAATTTTCATACCCATTTGTTTTCTCTGCTCCAGCAAGAAATGCCCAGTGCGCTAAGACTCCAAGAGACCCAGACAGGAGGTCCCCCTGTCCACCGCATCGCCGGCTGCTTCCTTCGTGGCTGCATACAAGTACTATGGACAGACAAACCAGAAACAAAGTCATGTGCATTTGTATTTCTACTTACAGTGGTATCACTGTAGGTGTGAGAGTTAACCTCTGAGGCACACACTAATTAACAGGTGAGAGATTAATCACAAGCAGAGCATATGGTGAAATACACTCTTCTTAAAAAAAAACCCATTGCATTAACATTTTAAAAACACTTTTATAATTAATTTTCAATCCTTTACAGATAACACTGCACCATACATACACTTTCTCCACTTCTCTCAGCCTGCACAGAAGGTTTGGTCACTAATGAGTTTAGTGACCCATGAACTGATGCTGCCATCATGAGCAACCACCCCAAACTGGACCAGGCCCCCCCGCAAAGCTGCTGCACAAACGCGACCCTCCAGAGTCCTTCAGAGTTTTCAAATGTAAACCAAGGTGTTTTACAGAGACCAAATGCAAAATTGAACTAAAATCTCAAGCCTTCTGCCATACCCATCAGAAAGGTGGTTTACTGAAAGCGGCCTTTTTCTTAGGCTTTGTAAAAACCACACGCAAGGAGAGCCCTCTTTTTCTGCCAGTCAACAGTGTCCTCAGCACCTGCGTATGTTTCTGTCAGCAGTGGCACTATGGATAGGCTCTGTCAGAATATCAGCTCTTACTTTTCCTTGGACCTCGGTCCAATTGATCTCTCTGTGGAGCTTTAACTATGAAGAACATGCAAATGGTTTCTCTAAATTTAACTCCTTTGTTCTCCACTGCCAACAAGCCCAAGGAGGAAGCCCGAAGGATACATAAGGCACACAGAAAGAAACCGGCATTTGTTCTACTACCCTTCCCCAAACTCTCTTGTGGGTATGCATCTACCCTCAGCTTTCCTTTTTGCTTGGCTCTGGAAAAAAAAACAGAGAAATTTATTTTCCTGTCCTAGGAGAGTGGGAGAGCTGGCAGAATCACCAGCAGCCAAGCAGTGATCCTTAGCACCTCCAGTCAGCTACTGCAGAGCCACTCGGGTTCAGGACTATGCCCATGGCCACCTGCGCGCTCCTGGGCACGCCAAGCACACAAAAAAAGGTACAAAGCAAGACACTGCTTGGACAACAGCTCTGACCTCAATTTTCTCAAGTCACCTGGGCTGGGTTTTTCCAAGGTGTATGAACAGGGCAGTCCAGGCGTTTTAGAGCTAGTACTACCCATATTTTTTAAAGGAACTTTTCTCTTACAAAATAACGGGGAAAATCTGCACAAAACTGAAGGACTTGCAGGTAAATCTTCTTAGATAGCAAGAGGTAAAAAACCTATTTAATGCAAGTATACCCTTTCCAGTTCATTAGCACAGTTCATTTCTGATTTTTGTTGCTCGGTGCAGCATAGAATTGTACTTCACTTTCATTTCCTACCGATTCTTCCTGCAGTAATTGCTGGGCTCGTGAGGCCAAGGCCGTTGTGCATTTGTGCTGCCACTGAGAGGGCAAAGATTCATTAGTCACCACGAACACAGCAGACACCGCTGCAGCACTGCCAGCAGTTAATTTTCCCAGTCACTCTTCTCCCCTCCCCCCTCCCCCTCAAATTAAGATTCTGGATGGGTTTCTCAGTGAGCAGTAGTTAATGTCAAATTTCGCAAGTGTGATGCTCTTCTGAGTTAGCTATTTGAAGAAGGTATGCCCTTTTAGGTGGCATGTTTTGTTTTGTTTTAAAAAAAAAAAAAAAAACAACAAACCCACGGTGCTTTGGAGAAATTACCTCTAATTCTGCTACTTTGAAGATGGTATCTCACAGGATTTTCACTTTGAGGGCTTGAACTCCTGGCAGGAGGCAGGATGGAAATCCTCTGTTCAAAAGCTTTAGGGCCTTCTGATTGACAGCTGAGCACAAGCCCCTGCTTATTAGCTGTATGTCACCATCTGCCACTATTCTGCAGCCCCACAACCTTCCAGTCAGTTTTGAGCTGTACAGGAAAGCAAGATCTCCTCAAACTAGGCCAATTATAATGCCCCGCCACCACAAAAAAAAAAAAAAAAAAAGTGGTCTTTTGTTTGTGTTTTTTTTAAAAAGTAAGTCTCAAATATGTGCAGACTACCTCACAGGCAACAACAAAAGCAGACCTTTGTACTCTGCACAGAGATGCTGGAAAACAGCTCCGCGCAATACTTGCAAAGAAGCAGAACTACAGGAAATTCACATGAATGAGGGTGGGAAGGTATAATGCTCTGGCAATTCTTGCGCAGAGCCTCAGTTCCTCAAAGAACATCTCAAAATAAAAGGATGATGACCATCACAACAGGCAGTGGGAAAAGGAATGAAAAACTCCTCTGAAGTATAGTCACTGTAAAGAGCTTTTAAAATAGCAGAAGGAATGCCACACTACCATCAAGACAAACTGGCAAAGCCACAAAGGACAAAGTCTTCCTGATGCTTTTCCCAGCCTTTTCCTAGAACAACAAAAGTAAAACTGCTGTCTTCCCACTCCCCCTAGCCAACGTTCTCCACTAAATGTCTGTGACCCGCTGCGAAGACAGCTCAAGCAGTTCTTCAAGGGGGTGACATCCCTGTACGCCGCGCTGAGCAGTGCCAACCAGTGGCAGCGTCACAGGGCCTCGGTGAGGTGGACATGACAAGGCAGGCAGTTCTGTTCCCTGGAGAGATGCAGAACAATGTATTTACAGGAGGATGATGGATTTTTCGGTCCCTTGCTCAGGGAGGTTATAGCACGTTCAACTAGGGGTCAGCACGTGCACCTGAAAGCCTAGAAAACGTGGCTCTTGGAATAGCCGAGGACGCCAAGACGCCTGGACGCTGGACAACAGGGAGACTGCAAAGACTGAAATCATCACAGTGTGTCAATGTTGCAAGGCAGCAACCGGGGCCACTTAAGGTCAATTAGTCTGCCATCAGTCCCAATCAAAATAATGGAGAGGTTCACCCTACAGTTCAACTGACAGACCATAAGAGATAGAAACACACAACCAGTTGGCTGCTGGGGCAGGGCGTCTTGTTTTGGTTTTTAATAGGTCTGGGCAACCAAATCTGATGTCATTATTTCCCAGGATCATGAATAAAAACCACACTGACCTCAGTACAATTAATAGACAGTCTTTTAATGAAAACTGATCTATGCTAAGTGCCCTTCTGAAACAAACAAACAACAAAAAACCCCCAACAAAACAAACAAACCAGAAAGCAACCCAGTTCCCTAGCACACACCCATGGTGCATACACATACTCTCATAAGAAAAGGCTAGATGAAATAAAAATGTTATCACCGAAGAATTCGTTGACTGAAGTATGTCAAGGAGATCTGCTAGAGTCAGAACCATCACAGCCCTATTCAACAGTTTCAAACTAACCACAGCTATTAAACAGCACATAAATATTGCTAGAGCTGTACGCAGCAAATGCATGTCCCTCACACATTGTCACCCCGATTTCTTTCTTACCTAAGTCCATGCAAACCATCTGTACTAAAATATCAACAGAACACAACAGAAACACAAAAATGAAGGTGGTTGGACTGACAGAATACTGGAAAGTAGAAATTCAAGAGTTTTAGGCTCCATGCAGTTCAAAACTCTGCCCCAGGCTTCCTGAGTAACTACGGTCAAGTCATTTAGTAGCTCTATGTTTAATATATTTCAGGCCATAAAATAAGTTACCATCAATCCCTTTTCAGCACTTCGTGAAGATAAGATAAATACTAGCATTTGGGGAAGCATTTGGACCATGATGTCACACTTAACTATACCACTGCTAGCAAGTTTTAAGTGAAAGAACTCCCAGCCCAAACTGCGCTGGCAGATCAAAGCCCAGAAGAATGACCCATTTATGGATACTGTATGCTTTACTGAAAAAAAAAAAAAAAAACCAACAAAAAAAACAACCCCTGTCTGTTACATAACTGAAAATAGCTATTCTCCCTTTGAAGGATAAAAAGTGGAATTTAATAGTTTTACTGAGCTCAAGCACTACTAATGAACTGGGAAGCACGAATTTTGATAGTGCCGTACACTGGCAGCCCTACTTACAACGCTAGCTCCTAGATACATTACAGTTAGAAAACCAAAGGCCCATGTAGTGTAAGAAGTAATGTATGTCTGCGTGTTCTTGATTCACAATGTTAATGCAGTAGTGAAAAAAAAAAACAAAACAAAACCAACCCAGGGATTCAGCTGGTATTTAGAACAGAGAATGGGAAATGCGGGACTGCTAGTTAAGGCTAAACAGATAACACTGATGATGATAAAGAAGGCTCAAGAGCTGATGTGAAACATCACATTTACTGAGACTGCAGACAGGAAGACAGCCTGGAAATTAAAATTTAATTCTTCAATCTCAGATGTCCTGAACAAGTTCTTTACGCTCGTTTTCCTCTTACCAAGCAAGGGTACTACTCTTACCCTAACATGCTCAGAAATCCATGTATGTGTAATTCTGATGAGTTCTGATATGATTCAGCTGGATTGGGTCAGCTAACATCAGCTACCCCACAGAACAACAAATACCCCCATTTAAATTAAAGACTTCAGATTTCCATTTTCTATGCAAAATAATGGACCTATCAAGGACCACTTTGCTCCACCGAATGCAAGATTCAGGTTTAGACCATTATCAGATGTTGACTAAAATCTTTTACCAGTATACATTTCTGACCTGACAGATACTCACACTAGTAAGAAATTTATCTTTTTCCTTTTGCAAGTTAGTTCACAAAAGCACACAGCTGGAGATTGTGGACTCCCAGAAACATGTCCCAGAGTGCATACAGACAGGAAATCCGAGATTAATGACTCTGGCTGGAGAAATCACTCAACTGATGTGGAAAATGTAAGTTGGCTTTTATATAAAGGGTGCTTATACTTTTATATTCCCTAATCACACTTTTAAAACTTAGATAGGTCCTTGAGTGTGAAACACCAGGCAATTTAAGTTAGAAGAAAGCGGTCCAAATTCCACATTACTTTCCTCAGCTAGGTGCAGGAGCCGGGAGACGGAAGCGACGGCGGGTGAGCAGGCGGGGCCGTGTGTGCCACGCAGAGCAGTGGCACAGCGGACTGGAACTGCGACCCCCCTGTCTTGCTCACTCTGCAGAAGCCAAGCAGGACTGGAGACAAAGGTGCTGCCTCTCGGTTTAAAATCTAGGCAAAAGTTGCTGGGCATCTGGACGCCATAAGGGCTTTTAGCTGAGCGAGCCAGGGACTGACAAGCACTGAATAGCTGCCTCTCCAGCTGTACGGGGAATGAATGGCAGAAATCAGAAGTACTGCTGAGGGATTTATGGCAAGAGTTGGCTTTTTATCCCATATTCAGTACTCAGTAATCCCTCTCACATGCTTCTTTGCTTTCCTTGACTATAGCTGCAGCTGGATAACTGGAGAGAAACTACGTTTGGTTACTGGCTCCAGGTAAAAGCAGTCACAGGCAGCAGCAAGCTGGTAACCCATAAAGTGTGCCTTTTGGAACAGAGGAGAGGACAAACACAGGTGCCAGGGAAAGTACAGAAAAAACTTATTATAACTTTAAAAACAAAAATACAAATCCTCTACTTCAAGGACCTAACCAAATTTTAAACATGTTAGGAATGAAGACTGGTATAACCACACTTTATTATTGACCAGTTCTCCAAAGAATAATAAAAAGGAAACCTTAGAGAGCTGTGCCATAGTGAATAAAAGCTGACTTACCTTTTACTCACAGGCTGAGTACTCATTCCTACCCTGGTCAGTGATGGCACTGATATCACCTACCAAGAGCATGGTGAAGCTCATCTTTGTAGAGCAGGGAATCAACAACTGTAGACCAAGCTATAATGTGAAATTGCAAAAGGAAAGAGAAAAAGAGTATATAAAACTTAATTTAAAATCTCGGTGATTGTGTTTACAGGGCAGTTGGCAGCTCATAACTGAAATGGAGACAAATTTTAGGAAACTCTCCTTTTTAGTGGAGGACTGCTACAGATTTCACAGAGGCCATGTATGATTCAGTACTGATTTTAAGGCCATAAGGAGCCACCTGCATCATCTAATCTGATCTGTAAAAACAAACCTGAGAGGTGTCCAGACACTTCAGTTTAGCAATCTATTAAAGTTCTAGGTATGTTATTGTCATAGCTAATTTCTTTGTCTGTTAATAAAATCTGCCTTACTTTTCATCTGCATTTATTAAGCTTCAGCTTCCAGTCAGAATTTATTGTGCTCATCTGCTTAGATTACAGAGCTGTCTGCTGACAGGAATCCTTCACCAACACCTGTACTTCCAGCTCGCTATCAAATCACGTCACAACCTTTTTTGTCTTCAACTAACAGAAGTAAATTGTCTACTGAACTTCCTGTAGACTCATGAATAAAAGTACTATGAAAATCATCACTACAATCACTCTAACCTATAAAGTATTCACCAAGCCAGTCTTCTCTTCTGCAAAATTCAGCATCCACAAAAAGCCTTCCTTCCACAGCAGCCAAGCACATAACACTAAAGCTACATAGTTTTCCTGGAAAGTATCAAGACTGAAATTTCTCCACCTCACCCCATCCCACCCCTATCAGGTCCCCAAAGCACGCGTGCAATATATTCCCAAAGGAGAAAGTTCAGAAGTGATATATGGAAACTACACTCAAGCAGGAAATGCGTGAAAATAGGTACAGCTTAAGCACTACAAATGGATGATGACGTGAAAAATAAAAGGCAGGAGGAGTACACAGATCTTTTCATAATATTTGACTGTGCTCAGAGGACATTGGCCTGATCCAATGATCTGGATTTCCCTCACACTGGAATCATGATGCATGTTGTCTTAGCTGAAAAAAAATGACATCAGATCAAAAGAACAGAAAGATGAAAAAAGAAGAAGTTAAGAGCGAAAAACCTGGAAAGAATTCAAGGTCAGTGACATGACAACGTGATCTGTGTTGTGGCACAGAGCAGATAGTAGAATCTCCTTTCTCAACGTCATTTTGCATTTGAGAAGCTTTTAAAAAATTGACCGACAGTAACTCCCAGACCCAAAGATCATTCTTGTTAAAAGGAAGCTGGAGTCTATAGTTTCTGCAAAATTCTCAGGAACCTTCTTGCAAGCAACACAAACCCTAAAAACAGTGTTTGTAACAGACCTTATAACCTATATTAAACCTGACAACTGCTTTCTCACAGCTCAGCAATGCTGCCTGTAATGGCTGTAATCCAGGAGAGAGAAAGCATCAGTGACAGAACCAAGGTAAGAACAAGAAAGCAGCCTATAGAGCTGGACATCAAGTAGCCTAGCTGGACATCAAACAACTGCTACAAAGGCACAGAACTGTTTTTATTTCAAATCAAAAAGCCACTTAAGTAACAGAAAAAAATATCACAACACAACAAAGAATAAGGTGGGGAAAAAGATAAAAAAAGCAAAAAGCCCTGAAAGCACGCGAGACATACAGCAAACTTGTGCCCCATCTGAACATTCAAAATTGAAATTGGAAAGAGTTTCAGCTGTTTCCTCATTTTTTGAATCCTGCATGACAACGTAGACAGTGTCCCCTCTCTCCAGCAATATACACTTATCTCAAGAGTAACAGCTCAAAAGGAGAACAGATATACTAGGTAATGTGCTGAATCTAAAGCGCTCACCCAGTTTTCCCAACATGCATTTAAAAAGCAACAATCCTGCATAAAAAGAACACTGCTGACATAAAACCACAGAAAGAAGACACACTACAGTGCTCTAAAGCTCTCTAGCTGGCATAAACCCGAGCCAGGCTGTTTTATCCTCTGTCAGAGTTCATCTTCCCTTAAGCCTGGCCTGACTGTCCAAGGTTGCAAATCAAGTCTGCGACGGGTTCAAATATGACAGCAGACTTCATGCAGGGCAACTTGGGTACTACACGACTGACCGAAGTCCTCCACCACCTAGGCATAACCCTATTGCTTCCAGATCACAGCTGGCTGCACAGCCTGCTATAGTATTTGTACTCATGGGGGTGTGTGGAAGGTGGCTCTGCACAAACCAGTTGCCATGTTACATCTGTTTTTCTGTTATAAAAGACTCCCGTGGCTCTGAATAATGAAAAATTGACCACATATACAAAATGGTTCTGAAGTGGCATAAACATTTATGAGAGATTAGCATTTCAAGTAATTAGAGGCAGAGCTGCTGCTTGTTACCGAACTGAAATAAGACGATGTAGTCAAAATGCAATGAAGGCACACACAAATTCATTTCACACTGATCACTGTAAATGATCAGTATAAAAAACACTAGTTTTATTAAATATACTTTAACCATACTAGTGACTGTTTTAGAAAGTTGTAATGGCAATCCAGAGTTAACTTGGTTTGTTTTTTTAAATTGTCAGGGCTAATGTACAAGTCATATACGTACATGCTAATCTACAGTCTCATGGTAGACAGTATCAGGGAACCGAGCAGCTCATGAACCTCAAGACACCTTCATTTTTCACTCACCAATACATGGTTAAACAACAATATTATTCTGCATCAAGTTAGTAATGACATCTGCACTTATATAGACCATCTAGGCTAAGGATTTTTAAAGCAGTTCACAAAGATTAAAAAATTAATTTCTCAATACCTCTGTAATGTAAAACATAGGTTACAGCCATTTAAATGAGAAATAATATCAGCAACTTTTTTCAGCAAAAATTAAGTTGCACTCTTAAAATATCAATTTACACAAAAATTCTAAAGGTGATCTGCAAAGACAGCCATCCCTCCCCTTCAATCTTCAGGGGAATACAGTCAACCAATTACTATATAGTTCAGCCACTGGACTACAACTGAAAGCAAACAAAACAAACAAACAAAAAAAATCACATTGCTAAAATCAATAGGCTTCACTTACCTTTCTCTCCATCTGAAATAAGATCTCTTTCTCCCTTTTGAACAATTGTCAAATTTCCCATGGCTTGGCTGAGTCTTAATACACATCCATGATGATCACTACTGTCTACAGGGTCTCTAAGCTACAACACAAGAATTCCATACACAGTACATATTTTACTACTAGAACAACATATTCTAATATATGCTACTTCAGCATATATGGGGGGTCAGGGGAGAAAGCATCATCATCAGTCTTCCCAGGTATTTTTTTCTATACCCACTGCAGTGCCAAAAAATGCGTAAGAAAGGGTCGTCTTTTAAAAAGAGCTCTCTTTAAGAATATACATTGTTGTAGCAATTATCCCATGGAGTAAAAACCCACAAAATGCTTCTCTCACATATAAGAAACAACACGTCACATTTAAGCCAATAATAAGTTGTTTATTTATGAAGACTAAAAGTGCACATACTTAAATATCAAAAAGGAAAACGGCTCACCATGGCTTCATACAGTCTACTAAATTCCATATAGTTTGGAGTAAGAATAGCTCGCTGGTAGCCTTGAATAAGAGAAGGCTGCTGGGAAATGAGCCACAGTCCATCCTGCAAAAACCAGTAAGAAGAACATTTACTGAATAGATTCTTAATTGTCAAACCACTGACTGAATCAATAAATACTTACAGCATCAATAACGATAGGAATTCCTTTCACTTTTGATTTTTCTATAATACCCTGCAAAAAATGCAGATAACTTTTAAGATGCTTGCTAATTTAAATCTTATACGATCTAAAACAAATTCATCCAATAAATCTGATCATATAATTTGTTTTTACAATGTAAGATATAAAAAAAATCTGTTGTATTCTGCAAACTAGTGTAAGACATTTTCATATCAACTGGTAATTTACAGTTATTGTTCTCTCCCTGGTTCAAGTATAAGCAGTGTCAACAGGGTTTCCATAGCTGATACCTTGGTGTTGATATGCAAACAAGCAAGCAACCTCACTTACTCTCCCTGTTGTAGGAGACATGCAGTGCCAACTTAAGCCACACATAGTAAACATACGTCACCAATTAAAATAAAAAATAATTCAAATGAGTATGGCCATAATAGAGATCTACCAGTAACTATAATATTAATTTGAGTTGCTTTTCTGATGATAGGCCCACTGCAGTACTTTGAGTTTATGCACAAACAAACATCACAAGACAAGCGGTACTTAAGACTGTTCACTCATGGTCCTGGAGGTTTTATATTTTCAAAGCAAAATTAAGGCAGCCCAGACAACAGACCATTTGCAAAAGTGTTTTTTTTTCAGCAAGCTGTATCTACTAGCAGACTGTCTGCCCTCGTTCCCTCTCCTAACCGAGCAGTGGCAATGACTGATACTCAAGCTTTTTTAATGAGCAATGGCTGACAGTCAAGTTTTTTGAACGTTGCTCATTACCAACTTGTCTTTGAAGCTGAAGAGTTTATCTTTTTCCTGTGTAAGATAACAGAGGATGGTATCCATCCAAAAGTCTAATTATTTTTGAACATTATTAAGCTCTTCAGATTAGCTATCATATGGCCCTGAGCTCCACAGGTGAGCAAGACATTATGTAAGGAATAAGGAAGCAGTTTTTAATTAATGTTCAGGGTACTGAACGTCCCTCCATTCTTGTATTGTGGTCAAAATAAACACTACTCACCTTGCTTCCTGTAAATTATTAATTATGGAATAGACATATCAAGACAAACTCATTCCTACCCGATTCTGATTTTTGCAATACCAGTAGAAATCTTTCCCTTCTATTTTTAAATGGATGACCAGAATTTAGCAGTGTGCTTCAACCCAATGTTACTTTTGCTTGTTTGGGCACTGTTTGCACGTTGGAAGCATGAGACTGAAACACTACCCACTGCTCCACAGCTGAGGACTTGTCTCAACTCACAGCTGCAGCTACCTTAGAAGCTACTATAGCATAAAAGCCTTTCCATGACATACACACGCTTGCACAGGTCTTGGCTTGGGCCGTGTATCACAGACTGCCAGGCGCCCACCCTCCTTGGGGGGAACACTAAAGGTCTCCTCCTGTATTCAGCTACTTAAATAATTTTGAAGCAATCACAAGTTTTACACAACTCCTACCATTCAGCTACTACTAAATTATTCAAATTTATGAGTAAGTATATTTAACAGCTGTGCAAGGATAGAATCTTGAAAAATACCTAGAATTAACTGTGGCGTACTGAAAAGCAGAGCGCCTTACTTTCAAAGCTTTTAAAAAATTTATGAGACAGTCATTTCTTTATTCATTAACGTTAATCTGCACAGATGTGCACAGCTCAGTTTTCCTTCACAGAAGCTGTACAGCTTTGCCCCTGCTGTGTTAAGTTCATTAACAATTATGTTTAATTTGACTCACTTGGTTATAATAAAATAAGGTTGTGGATCTAGCAAAGAGGTTTATGTTGGTTTTTTTTTGTATAAATGAATGTTATACATTCAACAGTCCAATTATTCTTGAACCATACTAAGCTCTTTTGATTAGATAATATGGCACTGAGCACCAGAGGTTAGCAAGATATTATGTAAGAAAGCATTCAGATCATCCTCTCCCCATTTTTGAAGATACAAATACCATTTACTGCAACCTTGTTTTCTAACTGGTTTTAATTAGAATATTTTTGTACATTAGCAACTTCACTAAACTCCTTCAGTACACTTAAAATGATTACTGTTCCACTTCCCACTAATATGAATCACCAGTTTATTCTAGTATGTCAAATTCAGTACATCAGTCTTTCACGCCACTTCATTTTTTAAAGCCATAAAAGATTTCCCCAAACAGATTCCAGTTCGAGAGGTGGCCATGAAGTTGATCATGGGGGGCTGGAGCACCTCCCCTGATAAGGCCAGGCTGAGAGAGTTGGGGCTGTTCAGCCTGGAGAAGAGAAGGCTTCGGGGAGACCTTAGAGCGGCCTCCCAGTGCTTAAAGGGGGCTACAGGAAAGGTGGGGAGGGACTCTTTGTCAGGGAGTGTAGGGATAGGATGAGGGGTAACGGTTTTAAACTGAAAGAGGGGAGATATACCTTAGAGCTAAGGAAAAAATTCTTCCCTGTGCGGGGGGTGAGGCGCTGGCCCAGGGTGCCCAGAGCAGCTGTGGCTGCCCCCTCCCTGGAAGGGTTCCAGGCCAGGTTGGACGGGGCTGGGAGCCCCCTGGGCTGGGGGAAGGGGGCCCTGCCCGGGGCAGGGGGGGTGGGACTAGGTGGTCTTTAGAGTCCCTTCTAACCCAAACCATTCCATGATGCCATAAGGAAATCTGCAGGAAGACACCAGATCTCAGAAGTCCTTATCCTTCCAAATGATTTTTTTAAATGCATTATGAGCAACCCAGGGAACTAATTCTGCCAAAGTTCTGTTCCCAAAACAGTTAAGGTTTGGCTGTTGATTGGTCCCTTTTCATGTTTCCTCATAACTGTCATCTTGACTACTGGTTAGAATTTCTCTTTTTGTCTATATACATATCTAACAACAGGCTAAATAAAGAATCCTGAAGATCCATTGTCCACCAAAAGAATGTAAGAATAAGGAGGAAAAAAAAAAAAAGAATGAAAGTATACATACAGGTAAATAGCTTCGGGAAGGCTGGGTCACTGGTACACTCCAGAGAAATAAGGCATTTCTTCCTAATAAAGTTCTGAGTTCCTAACTCTCCAGCACATCCTCCACAATCCTGAGAGATCTGACCTCTGCTCTGAAGAGAAATTTCATCCTGCTAAGTAAAACCTACTGGCCAAGCAACTTTTATTGTGTACCGAGTCTCTCAGATATCAGTTTCTATTCTAAAATATTGAGTAATACTTGCTTTTTCTTTCTGCCCATATAAAACAAATAATCAGGGGATACAAAGTCCTTCGTCTTATTTAGAAATCTCATTTTTGATTAAAAAACCCAAAACAAAACCACAAACAAAAACTACCCTAATTACTTTCCTTTCTTTTTCCCCTCCTTAAACCCAGATAGAAACTGCTTGGAGACAGACAAGGAACCTCAGAGAGGAAGTTCTGGGGAGGGAGGGGGTAATCTGGCAACCATAATAAAGCAGTAACAGAGGTAAGAGAACCCCTGTGAGACAACCACCCGCTTGAAGGACACAAAGTTCATTGGAGAACCTCTAATTCCTATTGATCGTCAACAGAACCCATCTCACCTATTGCCATTTACAGGTCAAATGGCTCACCACTGGAGAGCAATTCATCCCATACCAGCTTAGACACCACAATTAGGGTGGGATGAATCACCAGCAGACACACCTGTCTCTCCTGAGCTATCACAGGGGGAGCAGAGACACTTTACTGCTTTATTTTTAGTCACCAAGAATTAGTGAGATGAAGCCCGCTTTTAAACATTCTATTACTGCAGACAGTGTATATTAAAAAAAAAAAAAAAAACAAACCAAACCAAAACCGAAACTACACTTGCATAAGAGGTGTTTACAGCAATAATGGCAACATCCTCTATGCAGAAAATTTTGTTCCTGTAAGTAAAAATAAATTTTCAGCTGAATCTGTATCTCAGTATTTGGTGTGGACTTTCCTCGTTAATCCTTGTAGCATACAAAAGACCCTTCACTGTTAATTGAACAATTAATACAGTTCAGAATAACTCTACTTTCACACCAAAAACTATTTAACAGTTCCTGATAGGACTTTATGTATGAGCAGGAACCATCTGTTCAGCTTTATCCCATGTAACAATTATTTATACAGGAAAGGATTTAGAAGAGAACACTGCCAATTAAAAATACTAAGAAATGTTACTAAGACAAGACCTGAAATTCAAACACCAATCACACAAGTGAACAGCAACACATACAGGTATCAATGATAAACCCCAGACATCACCCCTCCCCTTCAAACAGCATTTAGAATATTAAGATTTTGGAGATTCTAGCTTCAAGATATCCTGGTAAGCTATTGTACTGGGTTTGCATGGCCAGGTTTTGGTAGCAGAGGGGCTACATGGGTGGGTTCTGTGAGAAGCTGCTGGAAGCTTCCCCCCATGTCCGACAGAGCCAGCGCCAGCCGGCTCCAAGACGGACCCACCCCAGCCAAGGCCGAGCCCAGCAGCGATGGTGACAGCACCTCTGTGGTAACGTATTTAAGAAGGGGAAAAAAACCCCAAACATGTGCAACAGCAACAGCAGATGGAGAGAAAGGTGAGAAAATGTGAGAGCAACAGCCCTGCAGACACCAGGGTCAGTGAAGCAGGAGGGGGAGGAGGTGCTCCAGGAGCTGGAGCAGAGACTCCCCTGCAGCCCGTGATGAAGACCATGGTGAGGCAGGCTGTGCCCCTGCAGCCCGTGGGGGTTAATGGTGGAGCAGATCCCCACCTGCAGCCCGTGGAGGACCCCACACTGGAGCAGGTGGAGGCCTGAAGGAGGTTGTGGCCCCATGGGAAGGATTCATGTTGGAGAAGTCCATGGAGGACTGTCTCCCATGGAAGGGACTCCACACTGGGGCATGGGAGGAGTGTGAGTCCTCTTCCCCCTGAGGAGGAAGGAGCAGCAGAGACAACATGTAATGAACTGACCCCAACCCTCACTCCCTGTCCC